GGGGCTTTGGTTCGGGTCCAGTAAGTAAGTGACATATTATTAGCACACTCCTGCTATACAGTGAACACTCAATTACTCACAGCTACTATTAACATTAGAAGAAAGGACCCCAGGGCCTACCTGGTGGCACAAGGGGTTAAGACACAATGCAACCTATGAGGCAATCCGCAGCCACTGCAGCTCGAGTTTGATCCCAGGCCAGGGAGTGGCCCACATTGCACAGCAGACCTCTCCTGCCTCCCCGCTGCTCCCGTCAGCAGTGTATTTCGTCAGTCTGCCTGTTCTGTTCCCCGCTCTGTCTCTGGTAAATCCTCTCACCCTCCCCCGCCTCTGGCCTGTACCCCAGTTCTTGTATAAAAATAAATAAACCTTTAAATAAAAAAAAATAAATAAAAGCTGGTTAATCCACAGCATAGCACATACTTCGAAACCGTTTTTTTTTTTTTTTAAAGATTATTTATTTTACACAAGAACCGGGGTACAGGCCAGATTTGTGGGAGGGTGAGAGGAGTCACCAGAGCCAGAGCAGGGAACAGAACAGGCAGACTAACGAAATACACTGCTGAGGGGAGCAGCAGGCGCGACAGGAGAGGTCTGCGGCGCCATGTGGGACCCTCACCGGCAGGCCGGAATCGAACTGGTGCTGCAGAGGCTGCGGACAGCTTCACAGCCCAGCGCTCAACCGCCTGCGCCACCAGGGGAGGCCCTTGAAACTGATTTTGATGTTCCAAGGCCTGAAGGGCTGTCACTGAGGCAAGGCTAAGCACACCCATCTTCCTCCCATGTTTGTTGACTCTGTCAGTCTGTCCACTTAGAGGGAAAGATTTCTTTTCTTTTCTTTTCTTTTCTTTTCTTTTCTTTTCTTTTCTTTTCTTTTCTTTTCTTTTCTTTTCTTTTCTTTTCTTTTCTCTCTCTCTCTCTCTCTCTCTCTCTCTCTCTCTCTTTCTTTCTTTTTCTTTCTTTCTTTCTCTTTCTCTCTCTTTCTCTCTCTCTTTTTTTTAAAAAAGATGTATTTATTTATGCACACAAGAACTGGGGTACAGGCCAGAGTTGTGGGGGGGGGGCGGAGAGGATTCACCAGAGACAGAGGGGGGTAACAGAACAGGCAGAATGACTGAAATACACTGTTGAGGGGAGCAGAGGGCGAGACAGGAGAGGTCTGCTGCGCCATGTGGGGAGCTCCCTAGCAGGGGATCGAACTCATGCTGCAGTGGCTGTGGATAGCTTCATAGAATGAGTCTTAACTCCTTTCGCCACCAGGGAGGCCCTTAGAGGGACAGATTTCTGATCCCTGTCAAAACATCAAAACCTGAAGAGGCATCTCAGGTCATGTCAAAGGCCTTCAGCAGTTCTGTTATTTAAAAACCTGCTGATTAGAATACACATTAGGGTATGACATTAATTTCTGTTTCCTTAGTAAACTTAGCCCGAATAATTAGGAGCATCCACAAGTCTCAATCTGGAATTGAGCCTGTGGTTCACGTCCTGATTCAGGGTCAGCAGAACACTCAAGGAAAAGCTCAGTTGCCCCCACTCAGTCCTGGAAATGTGTTTTACCTTTTTATCATCTGTGCCAGCATTTGTATTAGAAGGAGGAGGGTAGGAGAGGCACTGGGCCACCTGCCTAATGTCCCGCTAACCAGACTTAATTCCGGTTGAAACAAACTTTCATTAGTTCAACAAGTTTACTGATTCCAAACGAACCCCAATGAGATAGAACTACCAGATCCAGAGTCCCCACCCTACAATCCTTTTAGGGAGGTGTGCCAAATACATCACCCAACTCTAAGGACACTGGCCAAGTCAAGAAAATCCATGCAAATTCATGTTGCACAAACCACTAAAATGCTGAGCATTAGCAGGAGGAGCCGCTGGGATCAGCCACCTTCCAGTGGACTCAAGCTGGGCGTGATCTATAGGCCCCTGGACTTTGTATCCCCAGCGCCCATCAAAGTAACCGACAAGGAGCAGACACTCTACCAGCATGGACTGAAACATCCAATGGGTTTAGGTAGAGTGAGTCAAAGTCATTTTTTTTAATAATCTTTTTTTTTTAATGATTGGCCCCTCCCATGCATCCAGAAAGAATCATCATTGTCTTTCTAGTCTCTTCCCTCCTCCTTGATGCCTCTCCCCTCAGCCATTAAAATCACCTCACATTGCATTTAACGTCTGCTGGATATTCCTTTGGTGCGCAATTAGGTTGTGGCCTTTTTTTTTGTTTGTTTTTTTTGCTATTATAAATACTGCCTCTATGAATACTTCTAATGTTTTTCCAAAAAATATTTCCTTAGACTCTATCCCTAAACATTGGGAACATTTTTAATGTTTTAAATAAAGTAGCCAAACTATTTTTCCAGAATGATTAATCAATGTACCTTCCCACTAGTGTGTAAGAGCACCGTCGTCTCTCCTGTCCATCTGTGACTCTGCAAGTGCCTCTCTTTTTCACCTTTTCCGATTAAACCTGTCTTTTCAAAATGTAAAAGAAAAAAAGGCAATTTCCCTCCAGGAATAATGGTTTAAGCAAGGTCTTTCCCCACTCCCTCAGAGATACTAAATATTACAGAAAAAAAACCCAAAACTGGGCCTCCCCGGTGGCGCAGCGGTTGAGCGCTGGGTTGCGAAGCTGCCCGCAGCCTCTGCAGCGCCGGTTCGATCCCCGGCTGCTCCCCGGCCACCGGAGGAGGGTCCCACATGGCGCGCAGACCTCTCCTGCCGCCCGCTGCTCCCCTCAGCAGTGTACTTCGGTCCTTCTGCCTGCTCTGCTCCCTGCTCTGGCTCTGGTGAATTCTCTCACCCTCCCGCGCTTCTGACTGTACCCAGTGCATGTATAAAAAAACAAAAACAAAGAAAGAAAGAAAGAAAGAAAGAAAGAAAGAAAGAAAGAAAGAAAACATGCCTCTATATAAAAATTAAAAAAAAAAAAAAAAAAACCCAAAACTTAAGACTATTAAATGGGCCTCTCTGGTAGCGCAAGGGGTTAAGCACAGCACTAGGAAGCTATGGGCAGCCACTGCAGCACAAGTTTGATCCCCAGCCAGGGAGGTATCCCCAAGGCACAGCAGACCTCTCCTGTCTCACCTGCTGCTCCCCTCAGCAGTGTTATTTCAGTGGATCCGTCTGTTCTGTTCCCCACTCTGTCTCTGGTGAACATCTCAACCCCCGCACCTCTGGCCTATACCCCAGTTCTTGTATGCATAAATAAATCTTTAAAAAAAAAAGACTATTAAACTATGTAATGTTCTCCTGGCACATACTCTTCTGTGATTTAATACCCATGGATTTCTTATATAAGTGTACTTAGTGAGTACAGACTTCTTTGGGTTCTGCCGTTTTCAACCCTGTCCTTTCTACCCATCAACATATTTCACATCTTGATCATTTCTAAACAAACACCAGTTAGTTCAACAAGTTTATTGATTCCAACCAGAACCTCATTTAGGTAGAACTAACAGTCCTTGCCCCAGATTACAGTCCTTTTAGGGAGGTGGGCCAAACACATCACCAAACTCTATGCACATGAGAACTAGGGTATAAGCCAGAGGTGCTGGGGTGAGAGGACTTACCAGACGGAGTGGGGACCAGAACAGGCCTAGAAAATACATGCAAATTCATGTTGTACAAACCACTGAAGCGCTGAGAATCAGCAGGAGGTTCATTGTGCTAATATACCCCAGAGACCTTGACCAAGTCCGATTGTCTGGGCTTATATAGTAATTTCCAGTTTTTGCTATTACATTTGCTATCACCTTTGCACAGCCTCCCACCTACTCTTGGTTCCTCACTCCCAAGAGTGGAATGATCTGATCAGAATGCAAGTCATTTCATGGCTCTCGTTACCTATCACCAGGTTATTGGGTAAGATTTTCTTTAAAACAAGAGGATTAGCACACAGAAGGGCAGCTTCTGGACCACATCGTAGACAAGGCCCAGGACACCTGAGCTTTCCCATGAGAACCTGGGAATCCCTTCACCATTCGGAACCTTCATTTTCTTATCTACAAGGTGAGTATTCGGATGGAAATGAATTGCGATCCCTTTCCACCAGAAATCCAGCCACATTTCTCCTGCTCTGTCCTGTAGCTCTTCTGATTCCTAAGGGCTCCGTCACTACCTCCGCGCAGGGGTTGCAGCTCCTGTGCATCTCCTTGGCAGTGGAGAGCCTAAATACTTGTGTGGTTGGCAGAGAGTTGACAGCCTAGGGCTGTGGAGCAACCTAGGGGTTCAGATTCCAACTGAGCAGTTGAAATCTCAGCCCTCCCACTTAGCAGCTGTGTGACCAAATACTTCGCCTCTCGCCTCTCGGTGGTTTCTCCATCTGGAAGCGAGGTTCCTATGAGCGCCTACCTACTAGTGTTGAGTTTAGGCTCTGCTGGACGCCAAGGACGAGGCCTGGACACGAAGATAGTGTTTTTGAAAATGTTTGCTGAATAAGTAAAACTTGGCACATAAACTTGAGGTGTCTTGACACTGCAACAGTGTCTTGACTGGTGACCAAACCTTGGGGGATGCCATCCCCATCCCTCACAGCCCAGAGATTTCAGTCCCAAGTCTCTAGACTTTCAGGCCTCCCCTTAGGGGCGGGCAGAGAGGCCTGAGCTTGAAGCTGCAGGCTCCCTCCTAGCCTAGGGCCTCCCAGGCGCCAGGAGATGCACAGTTCACTTTAAAAACCAAAATAAAAACAGAAAAGGCCAGTAGGATCACAACAATTGGGCACTTTTAATATTCTGTTGAGCAAAGTGAGGCATGAACACCGGCCCCTCACCCCAATAAATGCTAATGCTGCTGTTCACTAAGTAGCTGCCAAGGGTTCTCCGCTGTTCTCGGGCTGCACATCCCCCATGCCGAGACCGCCCCGCGCTCGGTGGGCACCCCAGCACCTCCCCCAGAACGGTAATTCCGGGGAGCAGGCTCCGCGAGGGAAGCGGGACCCCACGCCGCGCTCTGGGGCCCGCGAGGGGCACTCTCCGGGCGGGGGCGGGGGCGGGAGCGGGGGCGGGGGTTCGCTCCCGCGCCACGCGGCTGGGCCAATGGGAGCGCGCGCGGCGGGGCCCGGCGGTCCGCGCCGCGGCGGCTGAAAACCCGGCGCGCGGGCTGCGGGCTCCGGGCACGCGCCGCCGACCTGCCCCGGAGGCCGCGAGCCCGAGCGCGCGCCCGAGCGCCCTGCCCGGCCGGTGCGCGGAGTCGCCGGGCCCCATGGCCCCCGGGACCCCGGCCCCGCGGCCCGCCCCGGGCCCGCGCCACTTCACCTGGGCCGAGGTGGCGCAGCACTCGGGGCGCGAGGGGGAGCGCTGGCTCGTGGTCGAGCGGAAGGTTTACGACATCAGCGAGTTCGCGCGCCGGCACCCGGGGGGCTCGCGGGTCCTCAGCCACTACGCCGGGCAGGACGCCTCGGTGAGCGCGGCGGGCGGGCGGGGCCGGGCGGCCGGGGAGTCTGCACCCCGGCCCCCGCGCTTTCGGGGGAGGCCGGCCGGCGCCCGAGCAAACCTGTTGCCCGCGACTGCGCGCGCCGCGGCACGAGGCGGCCGCGGGAAATGGAGCCGGGCGTGGGATGGAGCCCGCGTCGTGCAGACACAAAGGGTCGCGCCGCCCCTGCGGGCCTCGGGTCTGGAGCCCGCGCCCGCGCCCGGGCGTGGAAGGAGACGGAGGAGACCCGACGCCGGCGCGGCCCGGCCAGGGCAGAGCCGCGACCTGCCTCGATGGCGGCGGGGGGAAGGGAGCGCCGCGCCGCGGGCTGGACGGCCGCGAGCAGGGGCGCGCGGGGCCCTCCCGGGGGCAGCCGCGGCGCGGCGGGCACCGGTGACCAGGGCAGGGCAGGGCAGGGCAGGGGCGGCCGGCCCGGGGGCCGCGGGCACTGCGGGGGGCGGCGCGCCCCGTGCACACGCTCGGGGCTCGGAGCCGCCGGCCTTTGTTGGGCGGGACCTGTCTGCGCGCCTGGGCTGCGGCCGAGCCGGGCCTCCGCGGGCGGCCAGCGCGCCCCTGCCCGCGCCGTTGCTCGTCTTTCCAGACCTGCGCTGGGGGCTGAGCGTCGGGCGCCTCCCTGCTGGATGCGAGAACCGGGGTGGCCTTTAGGGACTCCAAGGCTGGGGCGAGTCTCCTCCCCCCCCCTCCGCCGAGTCCCCTCCCTCCCGCCCTCCCCCGCGAGTCCCCCCGCCCCCCTCCGCCGAGTCCCCTCCCCCTACAACCTCCCCGTCGCGTGACCCGTCCCGTACCCCACTCCCCGCCCTCGCCATCCCAGGGCGCGCTTCGGGCCGTCGGGGGCCCATCCTGGCGCAGCGGGGCGGACGCCCCGGGAAGGGGACCCTGCCCGCCACCGCACGCGGCCGCCTGGAGGGCGAGGCCGGCGCCAGTGCGGGTCACCCGGAGTGACCCCCGGGGAGCCGAAGGCCGACCAGGGGGGCTGGCGCATGCGCGGGCCGGGTGGGCGCCCAGACCGGGGCTTCCTGCCGGGTAGTTGGGGGCCCGGGATGGCCGCAGCGGGGACAGCGATTGGTTGGGGTGTGTGGTGCCACCGGCCGTCGGCCCCGCCCTGGCTCCCGCCTCCGGGCCGCTGCCAGCAGGGCCTGGGGGCTGACCTGGGGACTGGAATCTCCCGGGCCACCCGCCTCCAGGAACCAAAACTAGGGCCCTGGGGCAGGCGGGGATCTGAGAGCTGGGAACAGTGGAGCCCCAGCCACAGCCGCCAGCGACCAGGGGAGGGGGAGCAAAGTAAAAATTCCCGTTTCCACGCAGGGAGTCTCCCTCATCACGCTGTGGTGAACGCTGCCCCAGAGGCGCTTGTTACAAGTCCCACAGTTTCATGCCCCCCCCTTTCTGGTTGTTTCTAACCTAGACTAAATTCACGCGTGAAAGGGGTCCCTAGACACAAGGAAGGGCCGCCCAGGCAGGTCTTCCCTGGTCTCCCCACCACCACTTTCTATCCCTCCGTGGGGAGCCCGTAGAATCGCAGTGCTGGGTGATCCTGGAAAAGGAATGAGTGAGCCCCCTCAAAGGGTGACTGGCTGGAGGGGGGCGGGGTCTTGCTTGGACTTGGGCACAGGCCCCTTGCTGGCAGGACTGCGGGGGCTGGATCTGGGGGCTACCTTGGAGGTGAGCCCTCCTCCTGGGGAGCGGGGGCGCCACTGCTTCCTTGCTCAGCCTCTGCCTTCTGCTCTTGCAGGACCCCTTCGAGGCATTCCACATCGACAAGGGCCTGGTGAGGAAGTACATGAACTCGCTCCTGATCGGAGAGCTGTCTCCTGAGCAGCCCAGCTTCGAGCCCACCAAGAATGTGAGAGCCACTTTGCTGTTTGGTGACCCTGTGGTTGTTGAGGGGCGGAGCAGAGCCTAGATATGAGCCCAGGTGACACAGACAGTGGTTCTCGGGAGGCCTGAGGTCCCCTGCTTCTTGCGCGGGTCACTGGTCGCAGAGCCTGGGAGCCTGTAGATCTCACTAGGCCGCTGCTACCACCGCCGGCAGCGGCGGCGTGACACCTCGCCAAACACCCCCGTGGCTCTCACGTACCTGCAGATGCTTTCACAGCGTGGCCAGGACCACAGGGCTGCACAGGTGGCCCAGGGACATGGATCACCGCACCCACGTGTTCTTAGGCAGAGTCCCATGGCACCTCCTCCCGTCACCCTTCCGTGGTGTTATGCTGTCCTCACCTAGGGCTTCCCACAGCATCCCTGGAGGTTGCTGCTGGGCCTGCGTCTCCGGCAGTGTTGGGCGGCAGCTGGGCAGAATGGCAGCCTTCTCCCCCCTCCATTCTTGCGCAGAAAGAGCTGATCGATGAGTTCCGGGAGCTGCGGGCCACGGTGGAGCGCATGGGTCTCATGCAGGCCAACCACATCTTCTTCCTGCTGTACCTGCTGCACATCCTGCTGATGGATGTCGCCGCCTGGCTCACTCTCTGGTTCTTTGGGACGTCCTTTGTGCCCTTCATCGTCTGCGCCGTGCTGCTGAGCACAGTTCAGGTGAGAGCCCTGGGCTTGCGGCCACCGTGGCCAACTCAGCATCCCTGGCTAAAGTTCTCTGTACCCTTCGGGCCAGGGAGCCCTGGTCTCTGCTCGGGGCAGAGCTGGGTACACCTGCGAGTTAGCGCAGAAAGAGCACACATCCCACTGTCTGTGCTGTCTGCCCCATGCCACAGGCTTCTCAGTTTCTCAGCAAAGCCTGGCTTACTCCCCACCTCACACTGCCCAACATGCTATTAATGGGGTACACCTGACTGTCAGGATCTGTTGCCAAGCCTGCTGCTCGCCTTGGAGTTCGTCTCTGTCCCTTTCTGTAGTTTGGGTGTTCATTCGGTCAGAAGTCACAGGACTAGGTGGATGCAGGAAGTGGGAGAGGCTGAAGGACCTGCTGAGTCGGTGAGAGGGACACTGGGCTGTGGGCCGTGGGCCGCACCCAGCACTGACCTTCTCCCCAGGCCCAGGCTGGCTGGCTGCAGCATGACTTTGGACACCTATCTGTCTTCAGGACCTCAACGTGGAACCACCTACTGCATCATTTTGTGATTGGGCACCTGAAGGTCTGTGGGATGGGGTTGGGGGCTCTGGAGCACCCATCGGAGTCGGGCTGCCTGGGGCAGCGGGGACACTGCGCCGTCATACTCATGGCCTGCTTCTCCGCAGGGGGCCCCGGCCAGCTGGTGGAACCACATGCACTTCCAGCACCATGCCAAGCCCAACTGCTTTCGCAAAGACCCAGACATCAACATGCACCCCTTCTTCTTTGCCTTAGGCAAGATCCTCTCTGTGGAGGTAAGCAGAGGCGTCAGTGGCAGGGCCTTTTAGAATGGGAAGTGCTCGCCATGCTGCCAGGGTCTGACAGCCTGGCTGGAGGGCTGTTTGAAGTTTCGAAGCACTGGGCGGTAAACACGCTGCCCAGGACAGAATCACCTATCCTCCCTTGTGGTCAGATTTCCTGAAAATCCCTGCTCATCCTCAAAGCTGATGGATGACCCTCCTCGGGGGTGCCTTCTGGACACACCTACCCCAGTCAGGCACCCCCTGGGCTTTGTATTGCTATTTTTTTTTTTTCTTTTATAGAGGCATGTTTTATTTATTTATTTATTTGTTTGTTCATTTGTTTTGTTTATACAAGCACTGGGTACAGTCAGAAGCTAGGGAGGGTGAGAGAATTCACCAGAGCCAGAGCGGGGAGCAGAGCAGGCAGAGGGACCGAAGGACACTGCTGAGGGGAGCAGCGGGTGGCAGGAGAGGTCTGCGCACCATGTGGGACCCTCCTCCAGTGGCCGGGGAGCAGCCGGGGATCGAGCCGGCGCTGCAGAGGCTGAGGGCAGCTTCGCAACCCAGCGCTCAACCACTGCGCCACCGGGGAGGCCCTATTTTTTTTTTTTTTTTTTTTTTAAGATTTATTTATTTATACAAGCACTGGGTATAGTCAGAAACACGGGAAGGTGAGAGAATTCACCAGAGCCAGAGTGGGGAACAGAACAGGCAGACTGACGAAATACACTGCTGAGGGGAGCAGTGGGCACAGCAGAAGTCTACGTGCCATGTGGGGCCCTTGCCAGACAGCCAGGGATCTAACCAGCGCTGTAGAGGTTGCAGGCAGCCTCGCAGCCCAGCGCTCAACCGCTGCGCCACCGGGGAGGCCCGGCTTTGTATTGCTCTTTGTTAGATTTTGAGAGCCTACCAGTCAGGGTCTTCTCCATCGAGAGTAGGATCATCTTACTCTTCTCTGATGCCCAGTGTCTAGAACATTCGTTCACTGACCCCACCTACCTGACCCCAGTCAGCCTTCCAGGGCGGTGGGCATTAGGTTGCGTTCTTGTAATGCAGCTGCTAAGGGGAGATGGTCTGGGATGGAGCTCTGGAGTCCTGCCAGGACCCCCTCCACCACTAAGTGACATTGCAGCATGCCACGGAGTTGTCCTTCAACACATTTCTGTTCTAGGCCTAAGTTGAAGGTGGCTTGGCTCTCCTCTCTCCTGTGAGAGGCGCTCTATGGAAGGCTTTGGCAGCACAGACTATTCTGCCACCAGGAGCCCCTGGGCCGAGATGAGCAGCCTACCTTCTATCTTATTCTGGTTTGCGCCACAGTGTTCTGATCCTGGCGCCCAGCCCCGCCCACTCGGCTGGCTGCTTCTGGTGTGGGGATCTGGGGAGCACTCTGTCAAACTTAGATAGTGTCTAAGTTTAAGAGAACTTTCTCACTCTACTGCTTTTATTGCTTCTTGGTGCTAAGGGTTTCTGGAAAGTTCTCTCTACAGACTTTTAAAAATAGAGAATTATCTGGAACCGAAATAGCTGTCTCCTGGTTGCCTACTCATGAGGCTGAGTGTAGGCTGCCTGTTAGTAAATGCCCAGGCTACAGGCTATAGGCCTCGGATCAGCCCAGCAGGTACAGCTTACCAGCACTGATCCCTGTGCTGATCCACTGTGTCCGCCCCAGGGCCTTTCCACTCACGTGGAGGACAGGGGGTGCAGATACTTCACCCTAAATCCTGGCCTCCACAGGAGTCAAAACACCTTAGGGTCCAGCTACTAGGATCCTGATGGCGTTTGCTTGCTGTTCAAGGAGGCAGCAGTGGACAGGGCTCCTTGGGAACAGTTCCAGAGTCCTGCCGCCTACCTCCCAAACAAGGCAGATGCTCTTCCACTTTTCCTGTTCATGTGTGGGATGGGGTAATTTCACCCCCACATATGAATCATCAGCAAGCCTTGTTAGTACTGCCTCCAGATATGCCAAATCCATGGCCATCTCCAGCCTTATGCAGCTCCCCGCAACTCTACCTGACCCCGCCTCCAGCTCAGTGAGCCTTTCGATTATGCCACACCTGGCAAAAGCCCTGCATGCCTACCCCCTGCCCCCCGCCCTGGGCACAAGTCCAGTGTCCTGACCTGGGCTCCCTAAGGCCCATCTAGTTTTCTGGCCTTTCAGCTGTTCTCCCCACTGCTGGTTCATCCCAGGCACGTGCCTTCTTCCTGGCCCTTGAGCACCCCAAGTCCTTGTACTGGCAGTTCCCTCTGCCTTAAGGGCTCTTCCCCTGAATTTACACCTTGCTGGCTCCCTCTCCTCATTTAGTTCTCAGATGTCAGTAGCTCAAGGAGGTCCAACCGACCACCCTCACAAAATGCTGCATCGGTCGCTCTGTCTTGTTTTCCTGGTTTTGATCTTAATTACCTTGGGCCCTGCTTACAAATTTATCATAAGCTCAGTAGGGATGGGAGCTCTTTATTACTCACCTCTGTATTCTCAGCACCGACGACAGTGCCTGACACATAGGCGGTGCTCAGAGTACTTGTTGAATGACTCGAGTTAATACAGAAAGAACGCTCGGTCCAGCAATGCCCTGCACAGCAGGGGGACACTTGAGAGAAGGGTGAGTGGCGCTCTGCTCTGCACTGAGTCCCTGTGCCGAGGTCGGTCATCTGATCAACAGCACTTGTTGGGGCAGAGGTGGGAGAGCCATCAAGGGCAACAGGAGAGCTTTGTTGTCATGTTCCTGGAAACCCATGCCAGGGGCCTCTGGGCTGGTTGGATGACCGGCAGGCAGGCCCAGCCTGGCTTAGAGCCATGAGGCTTACAAAATAACCACTACCATGGGGAAAAACCTTGCCAGAACCTTCAGATTGCATAGTTATTTTTCACGTACTTCCTACAAATAGATGCCAAACTTTGCCTAGCTTTCAAGGGATTTTATAAAGCTCGTGTTGAAGTCAAAGAGACCAAGAAGATTTTGATGGGAAAGAGAAAGGCCTGGATGGATGTACAGGAACGGTTTTCCTGTGTCAAAGTGAAAATGTCTGTGGAGACTCTGATGTCACACAAGTGCCAGATGGAAGGAAGGGGGACCTGGTGACGCGGATGCCTTTGAGTGAACAAAGGAGACCTGAGGACCAGGGGACGCAGGTGTCTCTGTGGACCTGGGGCCATGGAGCTGCATGTCACGATGCAAAGGCACACAGCAGCCTGGGCTGGGCCTGCAGAAGCCTTCCAGTATGCCTGGGAGGCTTCCGCCCTCACCCTCCCAGAAAGGGGCCTAAACTCCAGAACAGGGAAAAGCCAAAGTCAAGGGCGAGGACAATGGGTGACTGATCTGTGTTTGCGTCTCTTCACAGCTCGGGAAACAGAAGAAGAGGTACATGCCCTACAACCACCAGCACAAATACTTCTTCCTGAGTGAGTGTCTGCGACTAGCACCCTCCAGGGCACTGCCTTGGGAGGGGTGCAGAAGCAACTCCCAGTGCTTTACTCCCCCCTGGGGGCTCTCTGCCGTCTCCACTGAGCTGTCACAGGCTAATGTTTGCTCAAAGGTCACGGTGCCAGGGCCAGCTAGTTTTTGCAGCTCTATCCTGGTATCCTGCTGCTTCCAGTGGACTGGGAAGCTGCGGTGATGTGCCCATGGGGCGGGGGTGGGGAAATGGCAGAGGGGGCAGCTCCAGGCTGGAGGCCATCTCTCCAGCACTGACCAGCCTTTTAGTACCTGGTGCTGCTCACACCACCTCATCTCCCTGCCTCCTAGTCGGGCCCCCAGCCTTGCTGCCGCTCTACTTCCAGTGGTATATTTTCTACTTTGTCATCCAGCGGAAGAAGTGGGTGGTGAGTATGCATGGCCCAGGACTCCCTGTCCCTTTGTCTCCTGCACCCTGAGGGAGGGGGAAGGGCGTCTCCAGGAGAAATGGCAAAGATTTACTTGAGAACCAGGCGCAGCTCTTCCCTACCCTGATGCCCACGCCTGATTTCATAAAGCTGGCATCTCCTGACATAATGCCCAGGGCTGGGCTGGGGACTAGGCAAGTAGAGAAAGAGGCAGCAGCTCCTCTCAGGAAACTTCTAATAAAGCAGGATGTGGTTGATATCAGAGAAGAGCTACAGGTAGAAAGTTCTAGGGTTCCAGAAAGGGCCTGGCTGGATAAGAGGCATGAGAAAAGGCCACGTGAAGCCACTCTAGTTGCACAGGACTGAAGTGGGGCAGGTGAGCATGGCCCTCGAGCAGAGAAACTGGGATGTGAGGGTGCTCAGCCACTGGATGTGTTGGGAAGGACTAAAGTGTCCTCAAGTGCACCTCAAGTGTCCTCAAGTAGGGTGCAGAAAAACAACTGGAGAGTTGATCGGGTGCTGGGACTGACTGGGTCTTGATCTGGGCAGGTTGAAGGATTTCGGTAGCTTGGGTGCAGGGGTGTGGTACAGACAGCAGGGAGACCCCGAGGGGACCTATAGAGGAAGAGCAAGGTGGCTTGGGGGTGGCAGGAAGGACAGCTGAATGGAGAAGCCAGTGGTGGCTGAGTGTCCCAGTTGGGAGGGCCTAGGAGGACACCCCTTGCAAGGAATAGCCGGGTGGGAGCGGAGGTGCCCGAGCCGCCAACGCACACCGCCTCTCGCCACAGGACTTGGCCTGGATGATCTCCTTCTATGCCCGCATCTCCCTCACTTATGTGCCGCTGCTGGGGCTGAAGGGCTTCCTGGGCCTTTTCTTCCTGGTCAGGTTGTATCTGATGGGGCACAGGGAAAGCCAGCTGTTAGATCTGGGGACTGTGTTTTGGGGAGCAGGGGGTGTATCAGATGTCGGCTTAGGAGGGCGCAGGGGGAGGGGGTCTGAGAACTCTGGGCTCTGCAGATACTATTTCTCTCCGTGTGCTGTATGTACCCACCAGGTTTCTGGAGAGCAATTGGTTTGTGTGGGTGACACAGATGAACCACATCCCCATGCACATTGATCACGACCAGAACAGAGACTGGGTCTCCACCCAGGTAAGGGACGGTCGCTCGGTCACTCTGGACGTCACACCACTCATCACAAGCTGCAGGCGCCGGGTCGGGGTGGGGCGGACAGTGCTAAAAGCCCCAGTCAGCTGTGTATCCACTTGAAGCTTCTCTGCCTCTGCTGTGGGGAGAAGGGAGTGGGGCCCCCAGCATCCCTCCTCAGCCAGTTTACCTGGAGAAGGCTAGGCGGGCCTTTCTCTCCGTCCCCAGCGCCTGCTCTCCCCTGACCCTGTCTTCCAGCTCCAGGCCACCTGCAACGTCCACAAGTCCCCCTTCAACGACTGGTTCAGCGGACATCTCAACTTCCAGATTGAGCACCAGTGAGTGGGGAGACCTGGGAGGGTGCACATGTGGGGGACAGGTGGGAGCCAAGGAGTAGGAGCCACTAACTGCCCCTGTCCTCCCGAAGTCTGTTCCCCACGATGCCGCGGCACAATTACCACAAGGTGGCTCCCCTGGTACAGTCCCTGTGCGCCAAGTACGGCATCACGTACCAGTCCAAGCCTCTGCTCTCCGCCTTTGCCGACATTGTCCAGTGAGTACCGGGCCTGGGAAGAGGCGAAACGTGGAGGGAGCGACGGGAGGGCCTGCTCAGTGGTCTGGAATGGAGGTCCCCAAGGCCAAGGATGGCCACTGCTGGTCTGTGGCGAGCTCAGGCCTTTGCTCCCAGGCGGTGCCCACCCACTTCCTCAGAAGCCTGGGGAGGACAGCCTTCATGTGGAAGGGGCCTGGCCGCGGAGAAGGGCCTCCATCCCTCGGAAGAGCCTTTCTCGCTACTGCACTTCCGGGGCTCAGCTTCCTCACTGCCTGTCCTTCTCTTGCCCCCGCAGCTCCCTGAAGGAGTCGGGGCAGCTCTGGCTGGATGCCTACCTGCACCAGTAACAGCCGCGCAGCCGAGAGAGGAGCCTCTGGAGCCAAGGCAGCGGGGAGCCGGAGGGGCAGCACCACTACACTTCTAATATTGGGGGAGACCAATCCAACTCCTCCCCCTTCTCTTCCTGGTACAGAACTCAGATCCTGAAGGGGTGCGGAACATGCACACCCCCTGGAAGAAGGGATACAGCTGTGGGCAGGGCCGTGAGAGGTCCCTGCTTCTTCCAGGTTGGCAGATGCAGATGGCTGGTGAGGAGAGGAAGCCAGGAGGTGTGTGAGAACAGGGAGTTAGGGAAAGATTTAGCACTAAACCTGCCCCAGGGTAGGGGTGAGCCAGCCTCACGGGTCCACCCCTCAGTGCCTACTCCACCCTTGCACACCAGCTTCAGACTTCAGAGGTTCACAGGCTGGAGGGAGATGAAGCAGCTTAGCCTTTTGTGCAAGATTTAGGAAGACAGCATTAGTGCTTAGAATCCTGAGCCTCTCCGTCCAGAGGGCCAGGGGAACATCAGGTCCTAGTCTTGACGAAACAAGTCACTGATTAAAATCCCTTAAGTTTTTGAGTCACTTCTGACACCACCCGCGCGCCCAGGAAGGGGAGGCCGCTCCTTGCTCTACAAGCAGGTGGGACAACTCAGTCCTCTCCCTGGAAACATGACCCCCGGTGGTGTCCACTGCTTCCCTGCCTATAATTGCAAGTTTAATAAAATAGCCATCAGTGAGCACAAGGGACTGCATGGAACACAGGTGCCTCGGCCACAAAGCCTGTAAAGGAGAGGGGAGATCGTCACAGCCGGAACCACCGCGGTACCGCATTACTCCTGAGCAGGAGCGGTGGGTCCTGCTCAGACCAACTGTAGATCTAAGCCAGAAACAGGAAGATCAAAACAGAGAAGCTTATGATGGCCACTGCTCTCTGCAGGCACCCTGTGTCTTTCTCTGCGGGAAATCAGGTAGGAATTTCAGATAATCTCCTATGGTCTAATATGGAAATACAGTTTTTTAATTCTGGTTTTTATAAAGTAAAACAGCTTAACCTCCTTCTAGAGAGCAGAAATAGGCATGTGCCATGTGCCCCAGGAATCGTTCCTGGTCCCAGGGCCTGTCCTCAGCACCCACGCTTCCCTCCCTACGCCCACAGACTTTCCGCCCCAGGGAAGAGATTATTCCTGCACCTGCTCAGCAGCATCTGCTTTAGGCATTATTAACATTTTGGACACTGGGACAACTGCAGACTTCAAGAAGGAAAAAGCAGCAGAGCCTTGTGCAAGTTCATCTTTTGTTTCAGGAGAGAATGGCAGACAGGGAGATGGTCTAGGGGTTGTTCAGGGGCCAGAGGCACCGCCTGTGGAAAGGCTTATGATTACTTCCAGGTTTGTCAAAATACAGGCAGGTTAAGAAAGAGGTGGAGACCTGGCTGTGAGTTGGGATCTCAAACTAGAAACTGAATGGAGTTCCACTGTCATTGGCTTCCTCCCTCCAGAATAGGTGCGGACCTTTCTCCATCCCTGTTCCCTGCAGTGTCGCCAGCTGTCAAGCCATCTGGCTTAGGACCCAGGCTGCCCAATCTGAGCAAACCCAGCAAGGCTTACTGAGCCAAGTCCAAACTTCTAGGAACTTCCTCAAAGCATCTCAACCACTGTGGCCTTCTCGCTTCAGCCTAGACCAGCGTGGTCCCACATGGCCAAGGGACAGACCAGTGACGAAAGGCTCAGACTGTTTGTAACAGTCAGATGAGTGGTCTCAGCCAATCAGATGGCAGATGAGGACAGGATTAGTGGGCAGGGCACCTTTTCTTACAGGTCGTGGCAGGAGTAACATTTTTAAAAACGCCAACTTGTACGTTTATCTTTGTTCCCTTTATCTTCCTGTGACTTTCCTGGAGGCAATTTCTTTAATTAGGTCCAATATCAGTATCCTCTGTGTGTGTGCCAGTCCTGTTACATCCCAGTGAAGTACAATTGAGAAATAAAGTTAATTCTGACCAAATAAAGGCTGTTAACCTGTGATCCTCCTTGTCACTCCCGCGTGGGCCGACAGGGCCTCCACAGGCTGCTGTGCCCTGTCTACTCGCGTGGCTCTAACTGCTTTCTGAACATGAGTCCCTGGAGATGGACTCCCGTTTGCATAACCCTTTTGGACAAAGGGAGGAGTATCAGGACCCTCAGGAAAACATCTAGGCAAGGGGGAAGTACAGTAAGAAAAGCAAAGCCGACGCCCACACATTCATACGCTTCCCACGTGCCTCCTTTCCTCCTGCCATGAGGCAACATCCTCACTCTTTCTGAATCCTACATGGTGAGTCAGTCTGACTCATTTCTACTCCCAACATGACCAGTCCCCAAACTTTTCCTTTTTGCTTAAATCTCTCAGAGCTGGCCTGCAAAGCAATCCTTTAACCTTCATCCTACTAGAACGGCTCTCTTTGCTGTGCAAATTAGACCATGCGGTATAAAAATTTGCAGCAGCATAGATTTTCCCTGAAGTGTCAGTGGTAAATAAACTTCCAGAATTTCAAATAATAAAAACCACTCTACTTGCTTGACTGCAAGGTACTAGCTGGACTGCAGGGAGGTGACAGCTAAGAAGGTTCCCTGGGCCCAACCGTGATTCCCACAGGCTTAGCTGCACAGGACTTGGATCAGGAAATGGAGTTTCCAGTAAGCATCTGGGGTTTCTTTTCTTTTTAAAGATTTATTTATTTATACAAGCACTGGGTACAGTCAGAAGCGCGGGAGGGTGAAAGAATTCAACAAAGCCAGAGAGGGGAGCAGAACAGGCAGACAGACGAAACACTGCTGATGGGAGCAGTGGCATGGCAGGAGAGGTCTGTCACGCCATGTGGGCCCCTCGCCGGTAGCTGAGGATCGAACCGGCACTGCAGAGGCCGTGGGCAGCTTCGCAGCCCAGCTCTCAACCGCTGCGCCCCCAGGGGAGGCCCCTAGTAAGCATTTGACTTGTTCACTTTGGGAACACTGATTTCATCCATCTGGGCAGTGAACATAACTAAGAAGCCTACCTTCAGGCTAGAACTTTCTATCCCCACTAGTTATGAGGGTGTCCCTGGGGAGACTATCCCCTCCCTGTTTCAACGAGAAGAGCTCTTGTATCTGAGGCTCCACATAAGATTTCACTTGAAAAACAGATTGCTCCATTTAAAAATTTGAAAACCACAAGTCTTTAGCCTTGAGGCTTAATCTGTCAAAATGCTAACTTAAATTTCAGTCGCTTAAGTGTCCTTGTTAAAAACCTCCAATGCGTAGTATAGGAATGCTAAGAAGTTAGAAACACCAAGTAGCCCTACCTCCCCATCCCAGTTTTATCAGGAGCATCAAACTTGCAACACAACAACATTCCATCTCAAGCAGCAGCTGAGTCTGATGTTACAAAGGAACAAGGGAATGATTTTTGAATGGCAGCTCTCACAATTTACAAACGAGTCAGTGCTTGGATGCTATGGAGTAGCTGACCTAAACTATGAGGTGTTCTTCAAGGAGTCGTCTTTCTCTCCCACAATTGGTAGAAAAGTAGAGTTTCACTAAATGTATTAAAACTTCCTTCCCGGCCAGATACTAAGCTTTGTGCCCCAGCTGCCCTGGCCATTCCATGGGGCATGGCGCCCTCTTGTGGCCACCCTCAACCCACCTGTTTCTAGGCTACAATTTTAGCATGCCATCTAGGAGCAAAAGGAACACTACCTTCTGCCCGAAGGCTGGGCGCTCGGCATGTTTACAACTTCTAAAAAAACACAACGTTCTGGTTACTCTGATAATTTTATTGACTTTTTTTCTCATAACTTTGAAATAAAAACATCACACCAAAAGTAGCATTTTATCCCAAAGTCTCAATTCAGTTGGATGGTCTCAGAGAAGCCATGAGAAAAACTTTGCCACCTCGCCCCACTGAATAACCACTATAAAGGCTCAGGCTCACGCTTCTGCCCCACCCCCCCCCACGACACAGCCAGTACTCTAACCTTGCTGCCAACTCCAGAACCCCCACCTCTCGGTCAGTCTCATCTCGGTGGCTCTTCCCACAGGCTCACGCCGGGCCTTCCCGATGACGCTCCTTCAAGGTGGGTCAGGACAGCCAGAGCAGCACAGTCTGCTTCCATCACCTCCCGCCAGAAAATCATTTCTGTACAGTCCTTTGTTTCCACCATTTTTCTCCCTCTCCCTCCTTCCCATCTCGTTGCCATCACCGTCACGTAACAATGGATTCAGTGTCCATCACGTTGCCTGGGCGGTGGTTTGAGCCTGACATACTTTCCTGAGCTAAAAAGGGAGGAAACAAAGTACCTCTGTGGCCTTCCTGCCATAGATCAAGTGAAAAAGGGAAAAGCACTACTGATAAGGGTAGCGCGAGAAGCCCTACCCCCTCCCCGCCCCCACGGAGGTCCCTAGCGCTAGCTCTTGAGGGTGCAATACGGCAGATATTCTGGGGTCAAGAAGGTATCACGGGGGGAAACTCATTTATTTCCCCCTTTTGAACTTCCCTGCTGCCCCAGTCTTTGCCTTCTTCTTATTGGGTCCCTTGGATTCTGGCTCCTTGCGCTTAGCTGAAGAAAGCGAGCCAGTCACCTTGAAGAAGTCATCCAGGCGGCCCTGGGTGCTGCCCTGGCGGCTCTTGCTCAGTCTCTTGACCCCGCTGCGGATGCGCTCCTCAGAGAACTGCTTTTCACCACACATGAACTTGACGAGCTCTTCTTCATTGGGCTCGCTCCACTTCAGCTCTACTGACTCGGGGTCGAGCACCTCCGGGTCCAGAAAGAGCTGCTGGGCCTCCTTGTGGAGCCAGTTTTCCGGCACGGGGTACTTGTTGGGGTCGAGTCGACGCACAATCTCCTCAATGCTCTTGTGCTTCTGGATGAGGTCCACGGCCCGCTTGGGCCCGATGCCCCGAATGCTCTCACAGTAGTCACTGCCCAGCAGGATGCACAGATCCACAAACTGCTCCTGGTTGAGGCCCAGATCCTGCAGAATCCGGCCCAGGTGGAATTCCTGGATCGGCAGCTTCTTGGCCTCGCTGGCAGTCAGGTGTCGCATGAGCACGGGGCTGCCGAAGGTCAGGCAATCCATGTCCTCCGTGGCTGCGGCATAGACTTTGCCGGCCTTCACCAGAGCAGCACAGCTGGCTTCAGCCTCACTGGGCGCGTCGAGGAATGGGATGCCCATGAGGCTCAGCAGATGCTTGCACTCATCGTTGTGTTGCTTGGTGACCTTCACCAGCCGCTTAGTAAACTTTTCCACTTCCTCCTCGGCCCCAGCAGCCTGAGCCTGCTGCAGCTGCTTCTCCGCCTCAGCCCGCCGCTCACTGCGTTTGGCCAGCTCCCCTGACTTGAGCTGCGGTGGCTTGCCGTCGAAGACATACACGGGCTTGATGCCGTTCTCCATCATGCGGATGGTGCGGTAGAACATGCCCATCAGGTGGCTGGTGGTCTCACCCTCCTCATTCTGCAGCACGTCTCCACCCTGGCGCACGGCAATCAGGAACTGATAAATGCTCATGGAAGCATCGATGGCCACCTTGCGGCCAAAGTAGCTCTTGATGTCATTCTCTCGGATGGCACCAGGGGCCACATCGGCAATCAGTTTGGCCAGGCCTTGAATTCCCATAGCAACAGAGGAGGGCTGGCTTAAAAAAAAAAATAAAAGGGCCAGTAAGACAAGGAGGAATGTAAAGGATACAAAAGGACAAGGGCCACAGCTGGTGCTATCTCACCAACTTCCCCGCCTGCAGCTAAACAAACAAATCTAACCCAACAAAAAGGACAGCAGGTCAGCAAGGTAGAGGATGAAAGATGAACAAGACAGTTTCCCATTTGTCAAGAAATTTACAGCTTAGCAAGGGAGTTCACTCAGTTAATACTAAGGTTCCGGGATTATCAGAAGCCAAGCTGGGTACTAAGAGGCACAAGACACCTGCGGTTGTCCTCAAGGAACTTAGTTTTGTACATGACACAGGTGGGCCACCATGCAATCCACAGGAGAGCGCCCAGCCCAGCTCGAGAAGTCCAGGGACAAGAACGACAGAACTGAGCCCCAAAGCACAAGCAAACACCAGTGAAGAAGCAAAGATGAGGTGAGGCAGGTAGAGGAGCATAAACACAGGCGAATGTGCAAAGGTGAAACACATCTATGTCGATTCATGTGCTGATTTGTGAACACAGCCATTCCTTCTTTGTCCCTTTAAACCCTCACTGAACATTCCCAAGTCAACTCATTCCTCCCTGTCAGCAGCCACGATGGTTGGGGCTGTGCATCCCCTTGGCAAGGCCACGGTGCCAGTACTTAATCAAACACTAGCCCCGAGTGGCTGTGAAGGTCTGGTTGAGGCGGCTCCCAATGGCCATCAGTTGACTTTAAGGAGGTTATCTCACATGGTGGGCCTCCTCCAATCAGCCAAAAGCAAAAGCGGAGGTTTCCCAAGAAGAAATTCTGCCTCAAGAGTAGCATCAGCACCTGCCTGAGCTGCTGGCCAGCCAGACGGCCTACAATTTTTCAAACTTGTCAACCCCCACAATCACCTGAACCCACTCCTTTAAAATAAGCCCCTCTCTCTACAGCCACATCCAATTCGTTCTATTTCTTTCTTTTTTTTAAATTTTATTTATTTATGCAAGCACTGGGTACAGTCAGAAGCGCGGGAGGGTGAGAGAATTCACCAGAGCCAGAGGGGGGAGCAGAGCAGGCAGAAGGACCGAAGTACACTGCTGAGGGGAGCAGCGGGCGGCAGGAGAGGTCTGCGCGCCATGTGGGACCCTCCTCCAGTGGCCGGGGAGCAGCCGGGGATTGAACCGGTGCTGCAGAGGCTGCGGGCAGCTTCGCAACCCAGCACTCAACCACTGAGCCACCAGGGAGGCCCTCGTTCTATTTCTTTCAAGAATCCTGACTGACAGAGCAGCCTTGAAGGGGTGATGAAACATGGAAGAGCAGTATCTTTCTCGCGCACTGCTCTCCTCTCCCCTCAGCCTTCCTTGCGCTGGGGTATTTCTCCTTCCACCATCACGTTGCTGGGAGCTTCGTCTTTCCCTTTGTCTTTTCTCTCATCACTAAGTCTCAATAGCGAAGTCCATGGCGTCTACCCAAGCCCAGGTCCTGATCTAGGGGCCTGGCATGCTGTAGTCACCCAGTCCAGAACTGCACGCGTGGGGTTCGGGCCGCTTAAAATAGGGCAGCGTTGGCCGCACCAGCACCAGCTTTCTGCTACTTCCAACTAAAACCTGTACTTTATACTCACTTAGTTTCCTTCAACTGCTTTTAAAAAAGCCAAATTAGGGGGGGGGGAACCTCATCTGAAGCAGTAGTACCTGTTATATTTTTAAATATTATATTTTTAAATGTGTCATTAAGAAGCATTTCTGGGGTGCTACTTAAGTCACCACCACCAATACTACACACCGCCCCCCCTTCCTTCGCGGGCTTTTTCATTGACCTCGTTCCCTTCTGATAATGATTAAGTGCAAACACCCGCCCCTGGCACCAGGTCTTCCACACCCTGGTCCCCAGTTTACGGTGCCCACCGGGAAACCCAGGACAGAGCGCGGGCGCGGAACTGTCCTTTCTCGCGCCCTCTCCTCTGCGCCCCTGCAGCGCTCTCGGGTGCAGCTCAAGTTAGTTCCCTGCCCACGGCGGGGCTGCGGCCTCCAGCCCGGCGCCAGCAGTCACCATCCGGGGGCAGCACAAGCCACCGGGCGGGCGACCAGACGCGGCGGCGAGGCCTGCCCGGGGCACGGGGTCGCAGATGCCGGGGTCCCGACACACACACCAGGAGCCCGCGGGGTCTCCCCTCCGGAACCCCTCCGCTCCCGGGGTGCGCGCGTCCAGCCGGCCGCTCGGCCTCTCGGCAGGGCGCGTCTCCCCGTCGGCAGCGACGCCCCCACCGCATCCCTCAGAGGCGGGCAGGAGAGCGTGAGGCTTGAAGAACGCTCTCACCCTGGCCCTAGAGACGCAGCGACCACGACGCGGGCGCTCCGGCCTCTTCCCACCCCCGGAGCGGGGGGCTCGGGCTTCCGCGCCCGGCGGCCACGTCACCCTCCAAGGCGCGCCCCATGGGCTCGCACCTACCTGGTCTCTGGGGCGCGAGGCCTCGGCCGTTGGCGCTTGGTCAGCACCGCTCCCGCTTCAGCGCCGCCGCGGGTCGCCTCTCGCTTCACCGCCTTCAGAAGCCCGCGCTCGCGTCACGTGACCTATCGCCGCGCACAGACTCCTGGGGAGTGTAGTGCAGCCCTTCGCCCCCTCTGCCCGCTTCTCTCATGGCGAGCTGTACAGCGACGGTCAGCTGGCTCTGTCAGCGAGCCGACCCTGCTCGTGCCCACTTCCTGCGCTTACTCCACACCAGAGCCTCCGCAGGCCCCAGCTCTCGGGGCCCCCCCTAAGCCCCAGGACTACAAGTCCCACAATGCCATTCGGCAGACGCACTTCCCCTTCCGGCTCAACAGCGCCAGTTGCTGCCGACGTGTTCTTCCGGTGCGGAGCGGCGGACTACCCTGTGGTCGGCAAAATGGTGAGAGGGTTGAGGGAAGCTCCAGACCGGGCAGTGAGGATGCCTCCAACCTGACCCACACCTCGCTGCCCTCGCAAAGGCTTCAGACCCCCGAGATCCAGAAGCCAGAAGGCCCCTGGGTCCTCCGCTTGGGCTGAGGGGCGGGAAGGGAAGCTCCTGGCCATCCATGGACGCCTTAGCTTGAGATTTTGATCGCCCTGGACTCTGATCTCGCGGTTTATAAGAGTGAGGGGCTTCGGGGTCATTTTTCACATTTCAGAGCTTTTAAATTTTTTACCTGTGATCAACTTCTAATCTCTGTCAGGAATGCTCTTCCCCCCGCCCCACCCGTGTTCATCTCACGGCGCCCCTGGCAATTGTCTTCTTAGGGAAGCGCTTTCAACTCGCTCAGCCCCTGGGCCTGGGAGCTCTCTCCTGGGAGCTTCCCAAGCTCATGACAGACCTCGTGCCACGTTTCTTGGATTTGTTTGTTATCTGTCACGCCTCCCAGTGACCGCCATCTGACGTGCCTCCAGCCCTGGGATGATGTCTATTCATCTTTGTGTTCTCAGGGCCAAACACAGGGCCTGCAATTAGAGGCTCAATAAATGGCAGCCATTGTCTTTACCATGGGGGGGTGCATACATGCTTATTGAATTGAATTCTAGTGTCTCTTAGAACAATGGGGTCGGTTTACTTGTCCAGAGTTGTTATGTTCTGGGTTTTGGAAGCATTGGGTGGGTGACAATGGACGTTAACATTTGTACGGAACTTGTCACTCACAACTCTCATTCACAGGCATTATCTCATAGTCTCCCCTGTCACCTTAGGAAGGAAACAAACACCTAGTGAGCCAGATGAGTGAGCCACATGCTTGTACATTATCATCTTAGATCATCCAGCAACCCCGGGGGGGGGGGGGTAGATACTATAACAGTTTACTGAGATTCATCTTCGTAGAGCCAGAATTCTAACTGATGCCTTTCCTGAGATTCCATAATAGTGTATTGGGGAGAATATAGACTTCGCACCTGAGCTCTGGATACTGGTCCAGGCTCTGTGACTTGCAGCAGGGATTCTAGGCTTGGTGTTTAAAGACACGGTTCCGTGAAGCTCCTAAAAATTTCGACAGACTTTCTCGCATGTGGTTCTTCCCCGGTCATGGTGTCAGTGACCTCAGAAAATGTTAAGGAACATGGATCTGTAGCTCATCAGTCACTTGTCTCAGTCCTTGCATCTCAGTTACCTTTTTGAAAAGACAAAGCACCACCGGAGTCGAAGATGCAATTGTAGTTGCATTCCCAAACTGAATCCCTTGATGTTGTCCTGAAGGATTGCCATGTTTCCCAGTCTGAAATAGGCCTCTAGCAGTCACAGCGGCTAGAGGCTCTTTGATAACCCACGTTCCCCCCAGGATGACGTCATGAGGTTTTTGATGGCTCTCATCTCGTGCCCTCCCCCAGGAACTCGAGGCCATGAGCAGATACACCAGCCCGGTCAACCCAGCTGTCTTCCCTCACCTGACCGTGGTGCTATTGGCCATTGGCATGTTCTTCACTGCATGGTTCTTCGTGTATCCTTTCGCTGTGCAGCCAGTGGGCCTGAATTAGTGATGTGGGAACAGAACCGGGCTGGGGATCTGAACTCTGGTGGGGGGTGGGGGAGGTTAAGGCAGTCGAGGAGAGACCCAAGATCAGGTTCAGGTGAGTTCACTTTGCTCTTCAGATTTCCAGGACATAAGCAGAGGGCCTGGCAAGACTGGAGACTGGGGCGAGGGGACCTGAAGTTGGAAAAGTTCTGTGAGGAGGAGTGTTGGGAGAGAAGAGGGCTCTGAGTGGCTGCACCATTCATTTGCTGTGTGGCCCAGGGCAAGTGAACCCCTCTGGGCCGCAGTTTCTTCTTGAGTGCAGACTGTGGAGTCCAGGTCATCTCTTGGGCCCCTCTGCCTGGCCTCCAGAACGGCATCAGCCAGGAAGCCTCTTGCACAGTCCATGCCTTTGCTTAACTGCCCTGCCAGTTACGAGGTCACCTCCACCAAGTACACTCGGGATATCTACAAAGAGCTCCTCATCTCCCTGGTGGCCTCGCTCTTCATGGGCTTTGGCGTCCTCTTCCTGCTTCTTTGGGTCGGCATCTATGTCTGAGCTCCCACAGGTAAGAACCGTGATGGGGCGGGACACTGGAGAAACCTCCCCACACTGGCGTCAGACAGCTGACCTTGGTTAATGGAGATGGCTCAGCAGACGGGGCACATGTGCCTCTTCATCTGGCTCATGGAGATTTGGGCCTCGATCTGGCTTTAGGCTCTGACTACCCTTCCCAGGGCCATACACGTGGGAAGACCCAGAGGGGTTAAGTCTCCTCTCATACATCCATGACGTGGAGAGGCTTCTGGGAAATGGGTTTGCAGGGACTCAGGATGTGGGACTCACAGCTCGCTGCAAGTCGTATGTACCATCTCGGTCAGTCTGAGTGTCAGACATCCTGCTACTTCACTGACTGATTAAAACACACACAGACACACACACACACACACACCCCTCCCCCAATCCACCACGCAGGTCCCTGAGAATGGGCTGAGGCAGCCAGTCAGTGAGAAGAGATCAAGAAGGCACTGGTCTCACTGATACCCCTCTCCTCTTTCAGGTTCCCACCAGGAGGCTTCACGGAATTCCCGCTTTTGTAAATTAATTTTTTTGTATTATTGCCAGACGTGTCCCCCCTGCCGCTCACAATAAAGGCAGATGCACGACCGCCCAGTCTGGTGCCTGTTCTGTGAAGGAGGGCTGATGCTGTGGGGCTTCCCAGCCCCTCCTCTCCCTACTTCTCTTCTGCCTTTCAGTTGGTTCCTGTTGTTGGGAAGCCCAGCTCTGTCCCGCTGAGGGGTGGGTGCGAGGGCGCCTGTCCTTGGAAGTTAAGGCCTGCCACTTGTTTTCTAGGGCAGGCCTCAGTGGGAACCTCCAATGGACTAGAACCCTTCCTGGCCCAGTCTCCTCCTCTCAATGCAGCCACCCTTCTATGAGTGGGGGACCCTTGCAAGACTGTCCCTATTTTTAACCCAGGCAGGCCAGGAAGCAGTAGGTCAGTGGGTAGCGGGGTGCGCCGAGTCCTATTCCCAAGCCTCGCGTGATGCTAAGAAGGGTGACCGGGTACAAGGGGTCCATCTGGCTCAGGGCGCTCTGCTATTTCAGTTGGTGTCAGGCCCATGAGCAACTCCATCTTCCACCATAACAGCCTCAAGAACAGATGGGGAAGCAGACCCAGATACAAAGCAGTATTTATACATTTATTTATATATGTATATTTCAGAAGAAAAGAACAGTTCAGCAGACAGGAAGCAAGCCTCTGCCCGCCTCGGCGTCAGAGTGGGTACGTGATAAATATGAGTCACTGCTCAGGGACGGGGGGCGGGGGGCTGGGAGTTAACTGGGAGCGAGGGGGAGCTCTAGGCACATGCCGGCTTTTAGGGGGACATAATGTGGGCAGGGGGACCTGGGCATCTAGAGGCCCTATGTACAGCTTGAAGCTTGGGGGAGATTAGCCCAGTGGCTATGGGAGTACGTGGAGTAAGGGACAGGCTGCTGGACCCCGGGTGGGGGTTGGGGCCAAGACACCCACTCACCAGCGCCAGGCCACTGTCGGCCTCCAGCAGGTGACCACTCACCTTCCTGGAAGCCCTTTGAATTTACTGGGCTTAAGGCAACTTTGGTCCGAGGTTGACCCCCTTAGAGCAGCTTGGAGCCCCAGCTTGGCCCCCACCCCTGCCCTGAGGACCCTCCCCAGGCATGGAGACATCCAGTGCTCACTAGATTGGGGCTCTGCTATGTCCACGTGGGCTCCAGGGGAGGGGGAGGGCCACTTTCCAGTAAAGGACTGAGGGGGCCACAGTCCACGGACATGCTCCCCACTGAGGAAGCCCCAGGATCCCTATCACAGGGGCTGGGAAAAGGCTGTTTTAAGGCCTAGGGAGGGTCTCCCCAGTGGGAGAAGGGTGGACAGTAGTCATAAGGCGTGGCCCCCTGCATGGTGTGGAAGGCCATGTAATTCCTATGTCAGAATGAGGGCGTGGAGGCGCACCGCGGACGGCGGGGCGTGGGGCTCGCTGGTGTTGCCCGTCCTGAGGATAAGTGCTTTGAGAGCCAGCGCAGAGGGGACCCGCAGTTCCTAGGCTTCTTTGAGAGTCAGCTCCTCCACAGAAAAGCCTCCCGTTCAAAGTGGAGAATGAGAGGTAGGAGGGCAAGGCCTGGCTCCCCCAAAAGGGCAGAACAACACCCAGGGTCGGCAGTTCCCACCCCTCTTCAAACCCACAGCAGCCGTACTCCATGATTTGGGCAATCCTTCCGCGGGTCGGGATGTGGCTTCAGATTGCTCCAGACAGCCACTAAGAAAGGTTCACAGTGCCACTTGACGTAAGCCTTTATCCCTAACCCAAGCCTGCTGGCCCCCTCCCAGGAGGAGTGAGCAGAGGGGTCTCTCTAGCTCTCCAAGCTTCTGATTTGGGGAGACAAGGCCACTAGCAGACAAGAGTGGAGGGGGACGCCAGAGTCCTGCTCGGGGTTGGGAGGCGCGTCTCCAGGCTCCCTGGGACAGAGCCGTCAGGGCCTTGTCCTGGCGAGTGACCACCAGCAGGCCCACTCTGGCTTCCATCCTGCCACTCCTGCCCAGGTTCAAGTGCATTTTAGTCATCACTCCGCTACTAATGGCAGAAGCTCTGCATCCACCCACCAAACAAGACCAGCCTGCCTTGCAGGGATTCCTGCTCCTCTGCTCAGAAAATGATGGGTCCCCTATACCACACACATTCTGGAAGCTTCCACAAACCTAGGCCATAGGGCTGCGACACCGTCTGGGGCTTACAGGGACCTTCCTTCCCAGGGGACTCCAGGTTCAAGAGCGCAAGGCTTACCTGGCCCGCTGGCCCCCCTGGTTCAGCCAGGCACTAGGTATCCGGTTACATGATCAGTCTCTCCAACTCACAGGCACATGGTCAGTTTCTCCAACTCACCTAGGGCTGGCTTCTGCTACCCCAGGGGCTCATGGGAACTCCGCTCTCCCAGGGGAAAGGGACCTCCTGGGCCTTGCTTAAAGCTTAGAAGTCCAAGTCAGCGTAACAGTCAAACCCTAAAAAAGTCCACTACCTTGCTTCCCAACCCACTCTGGGGAGCAGCTTCAAGGATGGGGGCATCTGCCCTCCACTCACTGGGGTCTGAGCCAAGTCTCTTAGGGCTCAATCCAAGACCCCTGTTGATTTCAAAGGTCCACTCCAAATGAGGGGTGCTTCCAGTCTCGAAGGGGAGGCGGGGAGGGGGCTTGTACAGTCACAGGCTTCCCCTTGCCTCCAGGGTGCCTGAAGCCAGCCCTCCAACCACCAGAGTGGACAGGTGGGAATTGGGCCTGTCCTGCCCCAGGAGGTCCCTGTCCAGCTCTGCCGTGGGATGAGGGGCCACCAGCAGGACAGCAGCTCCAGTGTGAGGACTTCCAGTTTCACCAGTCGTGGGGAGGGCCGAGCCCAGCTCAGTCTCTCCAAGAGAGCGCCAGTGAGTGGAGAGAGCTGGGGCGCAGGCTCCAGTGTAACACCATGACATCCAGTGCGTGTGGCGGTGACACCTGGGGACCCAGGGCCCTGCTGTACAGCTGCCCGGGGAGGGCAGCTCAGTCACACAGGCGGTAGAAGTGGAAGTAGTAGTCTGTGGCTGGCCGGCCCAGGGCTTCTGAACTGCAGTTGGCCTGACCCTGGGTGGAAGGGCAGTGGGAAGGGGTCAGGAGGCTCTGGTGGTACAGGGCAGGAGGCACACCCCTTGCTGACGTCACCTGAGGCTGCCCAAGTTCTCCCAAGAGCTCTGCAGACCAGTTCCTGCTCCTCCCCCAGCCCCACACTGAGATATAAGTGCAGGGGTCAGGGGGAGGGGGTGGGTAGGAGGCAGAGGGATTGCCTGTGCTTACCAGCAGTGCCACCCGGAAGTGGTAGGTGAATTCGCGGAAGGACAGGATGGTTACTGGCCACTGGTGGGAGGTGCCCTGGAGAGAGGGGGGAGAGGGGTCAGTGGCAGCCCTCACCAGGGCCACGGCAGCCTTGGCTCATGGCGAGGTTTATGAGGATAAAAGCAGAGAGCCCCGTAGCGAGACCGGAGGGGGCTTTGGGGAACTGCAGTCAACTTCCTGCCTGGTATCTCTGTGCCAGTGGTCCACACCTGGCCACTGCCTCCCTGCCTCATCACCCACAATACTCTGGGGCACACGTCTGTCATCCCATCCTCGCTACAGCCCGCTAAGGGTGCTGTCTGCGTCCAGGCAGGAGAGCTTGGTCACTTGCAGATGTCGGCAGAGCGGGGCTCAGGGCCAGGCCTGTCCGGCTCTTCCTGGCAGGGGCGTGTGAGGCCAGCTGCCTCGACTTGCGCAGCTGAGCTTTGGGCACATGGGTCCAAGCCTGACCTCCACTGCTAACAGGTATCAGGCTGGCCTCCCTCCCTCTGGCACCCCAAGGCCTGGCCTGTTCGGGGCTCTCACCCTCGCTATCCCCACAAGAGTGCATTTCTGCGGTGTTTCTCCCTAAGTATCCTTGGAAGGCAAAGCTGTGCCCACTTCACCTTTGTCTCCCAGCTGGGCCCAGCATGGGCCTGGGACAGAGAGTGAGTGAGAAAAATTCCCTTCATTTGTGCTCAGCCTCATAACTGCAGGCCCCCTGGCTGCGGGGGAGCCGGTCAGTGAAGAGGTCCAGCCATTTGGTCCCCTGAGCGGGGGTTAGCCGTCGACATGCGGATCTTGCCCCCATCACAAATGGAACCTCCCAGCCTGGGCCCAAGTCCAGGCGTCTTGCCTCCTCCCTTAGTCCTCGCCCTTCCGCTATGTCCTCTCGCCTCCGGAGCTCCCCTACTCCTGGGACACCACCCCCTTTTTCCTTCCCCAGCCGACCTCAAATCGTCCTCAGGTCTCAATCAAACATGACTTTGGGTGTGGCTGTGAGGGGCTGCAGGCTGGCGCGTGGGGCAGCGGAGGACGGAGACCGCAGGCCACAGGTCAGCTCTCCTTGCCCAGGACGCCAGAGTCCAGGCTTGGTCCCTGGGGACTGCGTGGGCTGTCATGGCCGAGACATGGCCAAGAGGTGCTCGGCAGTGAGCAGCGCACCCATTCACCCCACAGGGTGCGAAGGCCCAGGCCCTGGTATGTTTCGTATGGGGTGCCTGCATGCTGACCCCAGCTCCCCCTCCTCGCCAGTTTGGGGGCTCAGTTGTACCAGGGGAGAGGAAGTTTTGGGGCTTGGCTGCACCCAGCCTCCCAGTCACCCCTACCTGGGTGTCCTGGTGGTTGTGGAGGCCCTGTGGAGAGTCCCCCTCTTCACACGGCTCCTCCTTTGACATCAGGCTGCACAGCACCACAGACACAGGGGACGAGGAGCTGGGGAAAGGCCCAGTTAGCAGGGAAGTGGGGTTCCAGAGTCCCTCCGCCCAAGCTCCCTCCACTGCATCTCCCCGCCCTGCTGAAACAAGCCGGGAAAGGAAGCATGACAGTCCAGATGCTCCCCTTTCCCGTCCACCAGCCCACATGCCTGTGAGGCAGCAGCTCTTTTGGGGTGAAGAACTGGAGCCCAGAGATTGCCAGGGTCACAAGGCCAGTTAAGCAGAGAACAGATGATAAAGTTTGCATCTCTCCTCTGCCCCCTCCCCCGAGTTGCATGGGATCCCCATGCCAGCACTTACTTCATCTGCAGGGTCAGGCTGAGGTGCAGTGGGGTGCTACTGCTGACAGGGATGTGGTAGGTGAAGTTTCCAGGCCTGAAAGGACAAAGCTGGCTCCTTAGCCGAAAGCCACCCTACCAATCCCTCCTTCCCCCCCATATTCCTCAGGCCCGTCAATAACAGAGCCCGTCAAGGCCTGGAAAAGAGTTGGCTGGCGGGGGGAGGTGCAATGGCCAGCTGTCCTGCCTGGGCTCTTAGCACCTGAGGAACCTATCCTGAGCCAAGCCCACCTGCAGGTATCCCCTGGAGCGCAGTACTGGGAGGTGATGGGCATTGAATTCTCCAGCACCTGGATGGAGGTCAGGGAGGGCACTGGCTCTGCAAGTAGAGAGGCTGTTTGGGCAGGGAGGAGGGTGACAAGGCAGGACACAAATGAGCAGCAGCCAAGTCTTTCCTTGCTAAACTTGGATCAGTCACACACGTTAGTATACGTTTCAGATTACTCTTTCCAGACCCCCACAATGGCTGGGGCCACACCACCTACTTCCCCAGAATCCCAAAGGCTAGTCAGTTTCCATGAACCTGAGGTCTGCCTCCTTGACAGACCCACAACTCCCAGGAGCAAGGATGGGTCTTCCACATCCCTGCTTGCAGAGGGATCAGCTTATTGGCTTCTCTTCCTGATCGCATGCATATCTTCCCGACTCAGTTCAGCAACGTCCAGCCAGTAGCTTCAGGTCAGCCATGGTGGAAGGAGGCACACAAATCAGGGCCCTTTCCCCACCTCCCCTCGGAGCCATTGGTGAGACGTGTATGTAAGCACACGCCGTGGCCCTGTGCCGAGGGGCTAGCCCGGACTGCTGGCTGGGTGGGGATGGAGCTGAAGAATAACACGGGGTGGAGGAGACTTTCTTGTCCACCTCCGTTCCCCTACAGGCTTGCTGACTTCACCATCCCTCCCTCCCCAGGGGCAGCTGGGGTCCCTGGCACTGAACGTTTGCTGGAGCGGGACAAATACCACAGCTTAGGCACCACACCCAAGGACCCCAGCCGGACCCAGCACGCCCATGATCATATACCGACGAGATGGGAGGGGCCCGTCCCAATTCTCTTTAAGACATACAGCGACGGTCCTTCAGAGACTGGTCCAAAGTCAGCCCCTCCAGGGGCTCTTCCCTAATTTCTACCCCACCTCAGCCTGGACTCAGTGCCCTCGCCAGTCGGCATGCTGCCTAAGACTCCCCACAGAGGCTTTTCATGCTGCTGTGTTTTTGTGTCTGGGAGCCTTTGGGCACAGGAGCGTGTCTGTCTTCATTACCCTGAGTGCCCCGTCCCGAGCCAGTCAAAGCAGCGGCTCAGGAAACAGCTGCCTGGGGTTTCCCCATCACCTTGAACTTCAATCTCTGCAAGCCAGTTTCTGAAGGTTTTTTTTTTCCACTATAAGCCACAAAACCCATCAAATGAAAGTTGATGAGGTGGCCTGATACCTAAAGCAGAGCTGCCTGGTAAAGCACGGAAGGCTCTTGGCCTCTTCGACTTCCGAGCAGCCCACCCAGCAGCTCCAGGAACCCAGTTTGAAAACCACTGCGATAAAAGGTTTAGCGTTTTGAAAACCAAAAGCTTGAGGTTTGGAAAACTTGAGGGGACCCTGTACAGTACCCTGGTTGCCCTGGTGGTGACATAGAAGCAGCCGGGGGACTTGGGGTCAAGTTCTAGCTCTGCAGTTAATGGGCTGTGCCGCCCTGGGCAAGTCACTGCACACAAGCCTGTTTCCTCCTCCGAATAAGGTAGAAAATTCCCTCCTTTGCAGGACTGTCAATGGGACAATCTATATAAGGTTCCTGCCTGACCCCTGGACATTCCAGTAAGTCCTCCCTTAACATCACCAGGCTTCTGAAAATGCGGGCTGCAAGCAGAGCAAAACAAAGCAGGTGCTTGCACAACACTCTCATTTGACGTCAGCCAGGATTGTTTATCCCGCGTCAATGTTACTATGAATGACGTGGAGGGAAGCTGCGCGGGGCCTGCTGCACGGGCTCAGCAGATACCTGCTGACTGGCAGTTCTGTACCCAGGCCTTGCCCCGAAATGGGCCCAGGTCAGTGGCCCAGGTGTAGGGGGCAGGACCAGTACCTGGCTGGCCCTGGGCCCGAGTGGGCTGGGCAGGGCTCAGGCTGGGCTGGGGAGCCCCTCGGCGGGCCCGGCCATGGAGACCAAGGCTGGGGCTGTTCTTGGCTTTGCCTTGCGCCCCAGGGAAGGGGACTGCAGGGCTGGCCACAGGCTCCAAGCTCTTTGGATGCTTGGAGTGATCAATGCCATTGGCCGAGAGGCCCCAGGACTTGGCTCTGATGTTGGTGACCGGCAGCAGGGCCATCTGGCTGGGGCCTGTGGATAGAACCAGGACAGGCTGACAAGAGGGAACTGGCTGTCTCCTGCCCAGCTGTCCCCAGTGGACTTGGGTGATGCCCATCTGTCCCTTGGTCCCCTCAGGGAAACCCAGTCTTTCTCCAGAGCCTTATTCTGGGCTCTCGGAGACCCAGCCACTAGCCAGCGAGACTTTAGGGCCCCCTTCCAGAGATACCTGAGCGGTTGGTGGAGGGGTTGGGACTGTGGCCGGGGTGCAAGCTGGAGCCAAAACCTGGGTCGGTGGTGGGTTTGGGGGCAGGTGAGGAGCAGCAGATGATGGGGCAGGACTGGCTGGAGCACAGGTCCAAGGTGCGGAGGGCTGGACCCGGGGCCATGCTGGTCAGGCTGGTGGTAACTGAGGAAGCCAGAGGCTATGTGAGTCGTGGGTGGGGTGGGGTTGGGGGAACAGAGCACAGCCCTCAGTCTTGCATTCCCCCCACCCCTGGCCAGGCCCACCAGCACACACCCAGCAGCAGAGAGGGCTGTGTGCCTGGCAGCCCAGTGGTCCCAGGGGACTGTCGGCGCTCAGTGGTCCCAAAGCTCTGGCTGAACCTGCTGGGGAAGCAAGAGCTGAGCTCAGGGCCTGGGACAGCCTGAAGGGGGCGCCTGGGCATCCCGGAGAAGCAGGAGGGGCAGGAGGAGGTGGACAAGAACGGCGCAGAGGAGGCAGGAAGAAGGGCAGTAAGAGGCAGAGGCTTGGTCCAGACACGTACCATGGGCACATGGCCTCACCCCGCCCAGGGTGCTGGGGCCGGAGCAGGGCCAGAAGACAGGAAGTGGACACGGCAAGAGAGCTAGGGGGCAGCAGAGATGAAGAGGAGGGGACAGGCGCAAGGGAGGAGAGAGAAGACACAGTCAGAGGTCGCCCCAGGAGCTGTGGGTGACAGTGGGCAGACAGAGCCCGAGGTCCCAGCCTGGCCCTCCTCTCCACCCTCACCCCACCCTGGGTTCCGCAAGGCACCCCTGCCTCTCAGTGCCCAGCTGCCTTGGAGCAACGCTGAGCAGAGCAGAAAACAGCATCGGCTTCAGCAGGGCTGCCTGCCCACCGGGGAGACCCCCACCCGCCCCTGCAAACCCCACAGGCTGAGGGGAAGCCTCTAGGGAAGATAGCCTAGGGACTCCTCTGACCCTGAGTCTGGCCTGGCCTGGCGGGCACTGCGCCTCCGGGGACATACCCATCAGTCTCTACCACGTCCTCCTCGGTGCGCAGGCTTAGCACGTACAGGGTGGACATGGACACCACGCTGGGAGCCACAGGAAAGGGCCACTGTTAGAGCTGGCATCACCGTCCAGCGCCCTCTCTCTGGGGCAGTGCCCCAGGGGTGGGTTCCCAGATGATGCCTGTAAGGGGCTCTCGCCCACCCCCCGGGTCCGACTGAGGGAGCCGCCTCCCTCCTGGAGATGTCAGCAGCTCCACCTCCAGGGCCACATGTTCCTCCCCAGGCCTGAGCCCAGGGGGAGCTCGAAAACCCCAGCCAGCCCCCCAGAACGTGGAGCGCGAGTCACCTGAAGGCCATGACCACCACCAGGGCGACGATGGTCCCCTGCAGGAAGCGTTGGCTGATGCAGGCCTGGTCTGGGGCCACAGACGATGACTGAGGACCAAGAGGAAAAGCAGGAAAGGGCCAGACTTAGGGTATCCCTGATACCACCCACTGTGGACTCTGCTGAAGGCGGGGTGCTGTGGTCTAATCATTCCTCCAGGAGGGCCCAAGATTGGCCAGGGAGGGGACATGAGCCCAGAGAGGTGCAAGCTGCCAAGAGTGGTCATGGAGATGGGGAAGCCCCCCCAGTCCAACCTGCCTCCCTTCCTTGCCTACCCTCACCTTGCTGGCCATCTTGGGGGGCCTCTTTTTGTGGGGGACACTGCCTGCCCGGCTGAACTGGCTCCCGGCATGGCTGCAGCAAGAGGGCCAGGATCAGAGGTGCCTCAGGGAAAAGGATCTTGCCCTCCCCCGCCCTGCGCCCCCACCTGAAGGCACCCGAGCTGCCAGTGGACTTGAGGCTGTCCAGTCGCCGCAGCTTGGCCAGCTTGTGGCTCCAGCGCTCCAGCTCGTCAATGCGCGTCTCCAGGTTGTCCGTCAGCTTGCACAGCTCCTTCACGGCACCCACGTTCTCCATGAAGATGCGCTCCTGCCGAGGGCCGGGGCTCAAGGTTGAGGCACAGTCAGCGCCGCCTGGGAGCCCCTCCCAGCCTCCCACCCCCAGTGCTGCCTCTGCTCCCCAGCTCCCAGGGCCTGCCTCCCAACAGCATCCCACCTCTGTACCTTCGCTTCCCGCCCCTTGTGAGAATGTCCTCTGATGTCCCCTCCCTGATGGACCTGCGCCTCAGACTTGAGCGCTTCACTACTCATCGGAGGCCACCCCCCCGCCCCCCATCCCCCACCCGTGCCTAGCTTCTAAACCTCGCTTTCAGGTAGTAACCACAAGGGGATGGCTCAGCATTCACTGCTGTTACCCTCCTGCACGGGCACATGGCCCTCAGCGAGGGTCCTCTTGCCTTGAGCACGCAGCCACAGCAGCCAACCCCCGTGACCCGCTCCCCACCCCCCTTGAACCTATGGGGTGGGAGGGGGCGCTGGAGGAAGCAGAGGGAAGACTGGGTGGCTCCTGCCTTCCGCATTTCAGTGCCCCCAGTCTCTATGGGAGGGGGGAGTGCTCCTCCAGTTGGCCCACCCTTCTACCTTTTGGGGTCCCTCCAGTTGCCCCAAGCCTGCAGACCTTGTTCACCACCAGGAAGTTCTCTATGGTCTTCCCGTTGGCGAAGACCACATCTCCAGTGTCCTTCACCGCCTCAGGCAGGATTTCCTTCACCTCCTGAGCAATGACACCTGGGGCGGGGGGACAAGCCAATGTGGCGGGGAGGGGGAACTGCCCACTGCACCCTAATGTAAGGAGAGGGCAGGAAGTGGAGAGAGGTTCTGGAGGCTAGAAATTTGGTTTCCAAGGATCTTGGAGCAGGGGGCATCCCCGAGACACAAACCACAGTTGGGGTGGGAAAGGGGGGGTCTAAGATGTGGGGTTCTCCTGCTGAAAGGTGGGACTGATTCCTGGGAGTTAGAATCCCAGAAGACGGGGGTCAGAGAACCAGGAGGTTGAAGGCTGGCTCGTCTAGGAGGCCAAGCACCCTCTAGGAGGCGAGGTTCCCAGCACCCTGATTTTCTAGGGGCTGAGTGTAGGGTAAATAAAAAGCATCAGGCTTTTCTGCCCTCCCACCATTAGGATGGATGACGGATCCCTGCGGTCCTGAACGCGTGCCTGACGGCGGGCACCTGGAGCGGGGTGTGGGCATGCGTAAGAGGGTACACCTGGGCTGAGAGACTGGGCTTACAAGGGCGGCATCTCGGGGATGCCAGTCGAGCAGAGAAGCAGAGGACACTGGAGAGCCCAGAGTGAAGACTTGCAGGAGGCTGGGAGGCCTGCCAGCCTCCTGGCCCCCCAGCACCCCTGCCTGCCGTGTACCCAGTAAAATCCCAATATAAGCCTGCAAAAGCCACCGAGGGCTCCAGGACTCTCTCCTCCTTTACCCCATCTGCTCGGATCATAGAAAACCTGCTCTGCGTCATCCTGCCCCTACACTGAGGAGCAGAGTCTAGAAGGCAAGATTCCAGGGGTCAGGGGGAGGGGGTCCTGGGGGTAGGGTTTCCAGGGACCCGGCCAGAACTGCTAAAAAAGGGGACTCAGGGGGCGGGGTGACCGGCTCCTGGCCCCAGCCCCTGCAGGGGGCGCGTACCGGTTTCTGGCGCTGTGGTCTCGAGGCCCGCGCTGGCGGCGAACTCCGGCTTGTACCTGTAGTGCACCAGCCGCATGCGCGCGATCCGCTTCAGCTGTTCCGTGGTGTCCACCTGCGGGAGAGCCAGGGCCCGGACTGAACCGCTGCCAGGCACGCTCGGAGTGGGTCTGTCCAGAGCAGGCCCGACCGGAGCCCAGAGGCTGCAGTGTGGGGCGAGGAGGGGGGTGAACCCCTGCTACGGGGTGAATTGATCCAGGATCCAGATCCCTGCCTCCTTCCCCGCAGCCTGCCCTTCCACCCGGCCTCGCCCCTCCCGCTGGCCCCGCCCCTGCAGCCCCGCGCCCACCTCTTGCACGTGCTCCTTGGCCCGCAGGTCTGAGGGGTGCATGAGTGAGCCCATGACCTTGACGTTGCCGTGCACCACCAGCGCCTCATCCGGCCGGTCGGTATTGATGCCCACACGGCCATGGTGGAAGACGGTGTCAGGCACCTGCGCCCGCTGCCACAGCACGTCGCTGTCACTCTCAAACTGGCCGGGATTGGAGGCCTGGCACGATTTGGATTGGGATCGGATCAGTCCTGGGGGTGGGAGGGCTGTAGCGCCCTGAAAAGGGGAAGCCCTGCCACAGCAGGCACCCTTCCTACTCCAGCCAGGCCTCTTCACCCCATCTTAGCATCACTCCACCCCACCCCAACTTAAAATGTCCGGCCCATTGCGGCAGCCTGCAGGCTCTTGTAGGATCCGAGAAGGCTACCAGGACTTGTGCACCTCTATGCTTTACTGTGAAGGACCCTGAGGCCCAGAGAGGGTGGGAGCCTTGCCCAGGGCCACACAGCCAGTGTCCAGCAGGATCCACACCCAGCTCAGTACGCCAGTACCCCAGTGTTGCTCCTGGGGGCTGTTTCTCCCAGTTCTGGGGGCCCTTACCCGCACAATGATGCGCTCAGAAATCTGGGCGGCCAGCGTGTAGTTCTGGTTCTGGGCGTGGGCCTGGAGGGCCACCACCAGCATGAAGTACCTGGGGCACACAGGGGTCTTGGAGCCACCCAGGATCCCGCCCCACCTGCCCCTGCCTCTGCCACCCTTCCCAGGTGGGATGTACAGAGCACAGAACCTCCCACTCAATCATCTCCCCAGCTCCGGGGCCTCAGCCAGAGGCACGAACACCCCCTCCAACAGCAGAGGAGCCTGAGTCTCCACCAGGGGGCAGAAGCTCCCCAAGGCCCAGAGGGAGGCCCATAGCAATGTTCCTCAGTCCAGAAGCCCAGCTTTTGCGCGCCCACCAGGAGCCAATGGTGGGCTCGAAGTCTCAGGTCTGTAGAATGGGTCAGTCTGAGATGACTGCCCCCCACTCAGAGACAGAGGGGCGCCGGCCTCTCACCTCTGGTCAGGGTTGGGCTTGCCCTTCTTGCGCATGTTGTTGGCAGTGGTCTCGCTGAAGTGCAGCCTCCCCACAGTCACCTTCGTGACCTGCTCAGGGGGCAGATTGACCCTGTGGAGGAGAGGAGGGTACTCAGGGGGCAGGGAGGCGGCTGTGGAGAGCCTGGCCATAGGGGGCACCAGCACAGGAGTGTGTGGGGAGTGACACTGCAGGGGCTGCCTGGCCTCCTCAGTGCCCCGCCAGTCCCTGAGTCAGCCCTCCTGGCACCACCCCCAGGGGATCAAACTCTCACGTGACGGGGTTGAAGGGCCGCTTGCTTCTGTCCGACTGCGACTGCTCGATGTTGATGGACTGGTTCAGGGCCTCCAGCTGGGGAGGAGCGGAGCCCGTGGCACCTCAGGCTCCCACCTGGCCCTGCCCTCCTCCCGCCCCTCAGGCCTGGCCCAGCTGGAGCTCATGAGGAACAAACCCACGTCCTCACTTCCCCAACACTCAGATGCCTTCCGGACATAGCCATGTTGTTGGCAGTGGCTGGTATCCATACCACTCCCCCCGCCTCTGTATGTGAGCCCCCCACAGTCACACTCCCAGCCCATACCCTCTTCCACACCTACACCCTCTGAGCATACACCCCAAGCCAACCCTCACAACACCCGCTCACACCCAAACCCTCTCACCCCCCAGACCTCTCCCGCCACACCCCACCAGCCCTTCCGGGCACTGCCCAGCATGCCTACAGGCCGGCCCTCCCTGTCCCTGAAACTCCGGCGGAGGGCGAGTAGGCCCCTGGAGCGGAAGTTCTGAGCATATTCAAACAAGGAGGGCAGCGGCCTGGCCTGAGGAGAGGCAGAGGGGAGGAGAGGAGGGCACTGGGTCGAAGGATAGCAGGGCCCGGTGCATGTGAGGTGAGGACGACTGGGTCCTGGATCTATGGCTTGGGTAACCAGGGCGCTGCTGCCCTGTTTCTGTAGAGGAGGCCAAGGAGAGCTCATGTTGGGGCGTGGAGCTGAGGCAGCTGACAGAGGGATCGGGAAAAGGGTCTTAGTTGAAGAGGCCAAGACGTGGGGTCGGTCCCAGGGAGCAAAGGAAACAGGGAGCAGAAGCAGGAAGAGGGCTGAGGAGCAGGACATTTAAGGGGTGGGCGCCGGGAGGAAGGTGGATTCAGTCCTGAGGGGTTTCCTCACACTCACTTCACCTCTGGTCTTTCCATGCCCCCAAGCCTTCCTGGCCCTCTCGACCCGTCCCTGCCGAGCCCCAAACCTGCCTTCACTCCGTGCAGCTTCAGGTAGAAGCAGTCGAGGGGCTTGAGGCCTTCGGGCGTCTTGACGTACTTGGGCTCGCCCAGCATGCCGATGTACACCGTCACCTGGAAGTGGTTCTTCTTCTGGCACACGAAGGCGTCGTCACCCACCGAGAAGTTGAAACCTTTGTCAGCGTCCACGCGGTAGGTGAGCATGGGCCTGGGGGCAGGGGATGGCACTCACGCAAGGCCCCTCCGAGAGGGGTCTGGGGTGTCCAGCCCTGCCATAGGCCTGCGTTCCAAAGCAGTTCCCTTTTCCAGAACTGCCCCCCCCCCATCTTGAAATCATTCATGGGGCTGCTCCCACTTTTCAGAAATGGAAACTGTGTCCCCAGGAGGCTTTGAGCTCAGGTCTGCCAACACCTCCTTCCTTGCATGGCTGGGGCCACCAGGCCCTGGTGATGGGGGAGCAGGGCAAGACCCGTGGGTCCGCTGGACAGCAGAGAACGCCTGACAAGGGGCTTGATGGCCCCTCACCACACTTGGCTCCTTCCCAGAAGGCTGCCCGAAGCCCCCTCCCTCGCAGGAGACAGGGTGAGAGGGGATGCATCTGCAGAACCTCACTGCCGCCTGACAGCCGGTTGCCATGGAAACGGTGGAACCAGGCGCCGGCTCTGCTGCCAGCGCAGCCCCTGCCCACCGGCTTGCTCAAGCCCCCAGACATCCTCACTGTGACCCCTCCATCCTCCTGGGTGGGAGAGGGGCACTCTGAGCAGCCTGGACTCGGCTTCAGTTGACCCATCTGGTGCTGGGAAAGTGTTCCAAGTCTGGACCCTTCGGGCGGAATGAGGCGATTGCTGGCCCACCCTCACCAGGTCCCCAGGCACAGGCAGTGCCCCCCATGCCTGGGGCCTGGCTGGAGGAAGCCAGGCAGGAGAAATGTTTCCAGCTTGTGGGAAGAAGCCTTTGGGCCTGGTTTACTTCTACAGACAGGCCCTGGGCTCACGCCTTCTGCCTCACAGAGCTCCACCCACCTGCCTGCCTAGGGGAACACCCAGGAAGTTTCTGAGCCTTCCTGGGGGCCTCTGCTGCCAGCTCCTAGCCTTGGGACCTGGGAGGCAGGGTTGGCCTGAGAAGTGGGGGAGTAAGAGTGGGGGAGGGGTCACTCATCTGATGGCTGCGGTAGGGACCCCCCCCCCACCATGGCAGGGCTTCAAAGGGATGCTTCAGCCACCACAGCAGCTGGCTGACCCCGGCTCTGAGGGCTCTGGCTAAGAGTCCCCCACAGCCTGGTGTGCCCAGTTCCAGGAGGCTGGTCTCAGCTACCTGCCCAGGCCAGGCCATGTCCAAAGTGAGGTGAGGTGCTCTCAGCCCCCCATCCCTTTCCCTCTGGAGGGGGGAGGGCAGTGGTCCAGGTGTTCCTGGCAGGCAGGGGTGGATGTTGAGGGAGAGCTAGGAATGGTGGGACAGCCTCTGACCCAGCGTTGCCCCCCCTTCCCCATTTCTCCCCTCCAGGGAGGGGGCAGCTGGAAGGGCCTTGCTGACATTTAGCTTCCTGCTTCCCTTCCAGGAATGCAGGAGGAGAGGAAGAGGTGGAGGGAAAGGAGGAGCCAGAAAATGTGGACCCACCCACTTCTCCTGCCTGCCCCCCCAGGCCCCTCCTGGGCAGAGCCACCTTCTTAAGGAGGCCTCGGGCAGGCCCTGGTGCAGGAACCCAAGTGCCAGTCCCAGCTCTGCCAGGGCCTGCTGGCCCTTCCGTCAGCTGGGACCCTCTTGTACCACGTGCCCCCAGGCCCTATGCAAGGACTCAACCCCCTGCTGGGGTCCCAGGGTGGGGGGGGGTGGGCAGGGAGGGCCTCATCACTCACAGCTCCTTGCAGTTGGCATCATACAGTGTCGCCCACTTGTTCTGCTGATGCGGCTGCCACTTGATGGACTGGTAGTTGGGGTCCAGGTAGGAGCCACTGAGGCTGTCACTGTCCTGCAGGAGGCCTGGGGGGAGGGAACACCCCTGTGGGCCCTAGGCCCCAGCACCCTATACCAACCCCTGGGGGTAGGGCAGGCCAGCCATGTACCTGGTGAGGGTGCACCTGGCGGGTGCCAAGGCGGCGTCTGCACCCGGGCGATGCTGAGGGGCAAGGAGCCAGGGCCTGGGGAGAGCGGGCCCTGGGGAGGCCAGGGCGGGGATGGGGCTCGAGCAGGGTGTGGGGGCAGAGCTGACACGGTCCCAGGCTCCTGTTTGATCATTCCATTCAGCATCTGGGCATTGAGGGTATTGGGGGGTGATTCAGAGTGCTTCCTCTTCTTGGACGGGTGTGTGGGAAGCCTGGGGGATAGAGGTACACACCATGGGGGTTGGCTCTCCCCGAGCCCCGTCCCTCTGGGTAACACTGCCTCCCTCTCCACCATTTCAGCAGGAGAGGCCCAGCCCAGAGGACACCTCCTACAGGAAGCCTGCAGGCTTTGCCTCCTCTGTGCTCTCCCATCACTCCATGTTCTTGTTCTCTGTAATGACCCCCTGACCCCCAGACTGTGAGCCCAGGAGGGCAGGAGCCACACTTGACTTGTTGCCTCCTCACCACACCAAGCACCAAGCCTGGCACTTAGAATCACTTGTCGAATGGATGAGTAGTTCCCTTCCCTCTGGTGTCACCTCAGTGTCACCTTTACAGTGGGGACAAGAGAGCAGCCCCCTGGGTTAGAAACAAGCAGCCTCCTGGGCCACAGAGGCTGGGAAGGGGTTTCTGGGGGTTGGGGAGGCTGAAGATTTGTGAGTCTGCATAGCACTCCTGCCCCTTCTGGCTTACAGAAAGTTTGGGCAGTAGAAACTTTGCTTCAATGAAAGCTTTTGTGAATGTAGGGGCCTTGCTGGTGGCCTAGGGGTTAAGTCTCAGTGCTGTCACCACTAAGGCCTGAATTCGATCCCCGGCCAGGGAGCTACCCACATGGCGCTGCAGCCCTCTCCTGTCTCCCCCACAGCTCCCCTCAGCAGTGTATTTCAGTAAAGCTGCCTGCTCTGCTCCCCACTCTGTCTCTAATGAATCCTCTCGCCCCTCCCACATACCTCTGGCCTGTACCCCAGTTCTTCTATGCAAAAATAAATAAATAAATCTTTCAAAAAAAGAAAGCAAGAAAGCTTTTGTGAATGTAAAACTGCTAAAATGACCGAGACTTCAGCTGGGTAAGAACACAGCCCCTGGGTCAAGTCAGGCTCTGCCCTCCGAGTTCGTGACCTGGACCAGCATCTCCCCCAGTCAGGGCCCCACTTTACCTATCTGTGCGACAGAGATAGCCCTGCCCCCCCTCCATAAGGTAGCGTGGGCCGCTGGTGGCAGCCGTCATCCCCCACACGCTGCGGGCGCACTGATACCCACGCGGTGACCCCATCGCCTGGGGTTAGAGCTGCTGCCCTTCTCATCGCTGTTGCTACCTCCCTCTCTGCCCGGCCGGCCCCCGACCCCTCCTCCTGGTGGGGGGGGCGTGCTCAAGTCTTACTCTGCTCCATGCTGCTGCAGCAGCTGGTGCAACATCTGGGACTGCTGGGTGTGGTGCAGATCGGTGGGCACCAGACCTTGCCCCATGGCAGCGTAGGGGGGCATCGGGGGCTCGGCCTTCATGTACAGGTCCCGCTGCAGGATGGGGTAGTGAGGCGGGGGCGGCGGGGGCGGGGGGCCTGGCAGGTGGGCTGGAGGTGGGGGCGGGTGCTCCAGGCGAGAGGGCACTCCTACATGGCAGAGGGTCTCAGGGGTTATGGTGCGCAGGAGATGGGGGTCTGTGGGAGAGAGGGGGTGGGCGTCAGAGACCTACCTCACTCGGGTCCCGGGCACCAGGTCTCCCGGGGACAGGGCCTCCTGATTCCCACCCCCTCCTGAGCCAAACTTGGAGGCTGCCTTCCCGCCCACCCCACGTGTTAGGAGGTGAGACACGGGCCAGGGGTGAGCGGCCTTTCCCCGCATCCTAGCCAGCACCTTCCCCGGACCATCCCAGTTTCCCTCCCAGATCCTCCTCGGAGCCTCAGGAAGAGTCTCCCCGGTCCCCTTGCACAGTCCTGCCAGTGGCAGCGGCGGGGGCTTCGCCCTCCCTCCAGCAGCCCCTCCGCCAGGCTCCCAGGGGCCAGCCCCCAGCCTGAGGGGGGAGGCCCAGCTCCCTTTGTTCCCCAGGAGGCATTCCAGACATGTTTTGGGTAAGATAAACACAACTCTTGACCCCTCTCGGGGCTGTGGGGAGCTGGCTGCCTGTGATCCTGCTGCTCTGGGCCACCTGGGGGCCGCTGCGCCCCAGCACCACCCAAGGTGAGATGGGTCCGGCTGGCAGATGGGGCTTGCACTCGGGCCTTCCCCACACGTCCACTTACCGAAGGGCACGTCCATGGTGGCGCAGGCGGCAGGCGGGTGGCATCACCAGCGGGGACACTTGCTCACAGCAGAGCTGGGCTCCCCACCCGCCCGTGGGGAAACAATAGCCAGCGCCGGGGAGTATTTGACCAGCGATAATCTAGGCCTGTAGGGCGGCCGCTGGCCCCCTCCCTCCCCTGTTCCCTCCCTCCCCGATAAGGCCGCCCCAACCACTTGCCCAAACCCCAGAGGGGGAGGGCGGTGCCCACTGGACTCACCATTCACCTGCTGGGGGGAGTAGGCCTCGGAGCCCGAGTCTGGGGGAGAGTCCGGGAGCGTGCTGTGGAGCGGGAGGAAAGGGCTATTGGGTGGGCCGCGGAGCCCCCACCCTCACCCTTGGGGTGTCTGGCAGGGCCGGGGCTGCACTGTGGGCCGGGGGGTCTGCCCAGCGTCCCCTCAGACCTACTGGGTATTTGGAATCAGTGGGCATTGTCTCTGGCGATGGTGCTGGGCTTTTAGGGCTCCCTCCCCGCACCCACGGGCCGGGCCTGGCCTGCCTGCCCGCACCCACCAAAGCCCCACTTCCTGGAAACGCAGGGCTCTGGGAGGCTGGGCCTGGGGAGCCTCAGTGGGTCGCCAGGGGCTGCCCGCCAGGGGCAGGTGTGGGCTGGGCAAGGCGCCAGCTTCACCAAGCCTGGGTTTATTTTCTTCTTGCAGGTTTTGTTTTATCAGTGGTTCGGGGAAAAGAACAAACTCAGCCCTGAGAGGTCAACACGTCCTGCGTGAAGACTGCGCTGGCCCAGAGAGGGGGCGGCCAAGGCCACACGGGGTCCTGTTCGTCGGCCATCCAGGTCCCCGCCTCTGGAGAGACTGCCGGCCGGCAAGCTCAGGCTACTGACCAAGGTGGCCCCGCGCTGGCCCCAGAGCCCCCTGGCTCTCCAGACAAGCCACCCACCCAACCCCGCAGGCCGAGTCAGAAAAAAGTGCTGGGCCCCAATCCCTGCTGGGCCGCCAGGCCTGAGGGCCGCCTGGTGTCTCCAGCTCCCTCCACCGGCTCCACCTGCAACCTGCACTTCCCTGCCAGTGATCTTGGGGTCCCTAGTGGGTCAAGGTCTTTCACCCATTCAGGTCCCCACAATCAAATGCCCTAAGTCCAGAGGCCCCTGCGTGCCTTCCTTGTAACTCCTCACCGTGTTCATTATTCCTCGGCTCTGCGGGTTACTGATGAATACACTCCCTCCCAACTAGACAGCAGCACCCACCAAGGGAGCTATGGGCTGGCCCCTGTACCCCAGAACGAGGGTGAGGGCGGCAGCTCGCAGGGCCAGGGTCCCCACATGACCCTTTCAGTCTCTCTGAGAAATGGCCTCTGCATGTCCATCAGATCCTGCTGTGAGGGGTAGCAGAGCTTTCCTCAAAGGCCAGTTTTGGGGTTCCCAGAGAGGGTCCCTGGGGAGGGTTGATGAGGCTTGTGGAACAGCATCGGGCCGCGGCAGGCACACACATGTCCTGAAGTTCTGTGACTTCCAACTGCCTTGCCCCTGGGGTCTGTGGCTTAGGGACAGCCCCTCACCCCCAGCAGCTGTCTGCCTCCCGCAGCCAAGGCTCGCCCTGGCACCCCTAGCTGGCTTCCTCTGTCCTCCTAAGTAGCCCACTTTACATGCAAGATGCTGAGGCCCTGGAGGCTTGTGGGTTGCTGAGGCAGAAGGCTGGGGAGTGGGGGAGCCAAGATGGAGCCGGGCTATCTGAACAGCGTCACGCTCCACCCCGAATATTCCTCCAGGCTGAGATGGGATCACCAGCTCCTGCCCCAGGCTGGTGGGCCCAGAACGTCCTCTGAGCCCCCCTGCAGAAGCTAGCAGGCCATCCTTGCTCCTTGCCTCTCCCCCTGACTTGGTGTCCCCAGTCTTTGGTCACAGCCAGGCCCATGCTGAACCTTGAGTCAGGCTGCCGGTGTGGGCTCCTTAGCCTGCGCCCTGTGGCCACGGTGGAGAGTGGTGGAGCAGCTGGCATGGCGCAGGGAGGGGATGTGCATGCCGTGTATGCACATGCGTGCCTTGTGTGTGCACGTATGTGTCGGTGTTCCGTGCAGGTAAACAGCCCCCTCCTGTCCACTCTCTACACAACACTCAGATTTTTCTAGCACTCACGCCAGCCCTCATCACTCCCCGGCCCAGAACCCTGGGTGGCTGTCCACTGCCTCAGGAGAAAGCCGGTCCCCTCCTCGGCCGGGCCCCAGTCTGACCCATCCTCACCTCCCCACAGGGCAGCCCTGGCACCTGGCCCTTCCCACCGCTAGGCCTCAGCCAGCCCCAGGCCCACGGTCACTGCCCCCGCACCCTGCCTGCCCCCTGTGCCCACCCCCTTCCGCACTCCGGGCCCTCACTCACCCTGGGGCATAGGGAGCCTTGGGCTCCGCCTTGATGGGAGGCCCTGCACCCCCCAGGAAGGGCTTGGGCATGGCACCCATGCCGTTGTTGTTGTTGCAGTTGAGCGGGGCGCTGTAGCTCGGGGGTGGGAGGGGCCCATGGCGCCCTGGGGAGGGTCCACCCCCAGGGGGGCTCAGGTGGTGGACCCCACTGGAGCCGGGGATCGCTGGCTGCCCGTGGGGGTAGGAGGCCGCACTGGCTGGAGCAGAGATGTCAGGGAAGCAGCTGCGGAGAAGGGAGGAGGCTCAGTGGCCACCGGGACCCCAGCCGCCCCAGGTCCCCATCCGCAGGGCAGGGTGGAGTTGCAGAGGGGTCAGGGCTGCGAAGGGAGGGGGAGCGGCCTTCAGCGGTGGGGCCACATCACACCGCCCAGGTGAAGGGTGGGGGCCGAGGGGCTGGGTGGGGCCGAGGCGGTGGGGCACTCACAGGTCGGAGGCATCCTCCTTGCTGATGTACTCCTCCAGAATGCTGGTGTCTATGCTGGAAGGTTCCAGGGCACCGTTGATGTCATGGCCTGCAGGGCAGAGGGGCCTAGCTTGAGGAAGGGCCGCTCCTCTGGACTCCTAGGCCTCGGGGTCCGGGGCCCAGACCTCCAACCCTCCATCCTTCCCCAGACCAGGCTGTCCCACACATATGCCCGCAGGTCCTCCCCCTGTGCATGCAGGTTGGGGAGCCCTTCAGCGTCCACACTGACCCCATCCAGGAACACTGAGGTTGCTCCCCCAGTCCAGTCCCCGAGGGGCGGGGCCCCGAGTGCAGATCTGGCACAGACAGTACCCTCTTGCACCTCGGTATCCCCTTTTAGCCTCCTGACATGAACACATATCCTTGGGGTGCTGTGAGGTGCAAATAAGGCATTTTATTGAGTTGGGAGCCTCGTGGCTGCCGATCACCCCCAGTGACTTGGACCCAGACCCCATGACTCTCCTGCCCTGGGGGTCCCAGATGGCACATGGACGCATGGGAGCAGGTGGCTGGACTGGGCTGAACGTACACCCTGGGGGGCCCAGGGGGCTGGGGGAGCCTTCTATACCACAGGCCCCAGGTGCAGATAGAGAGGGAGCAGGATCACAAAATCAGGGGTGCTCAGAGCAGCCCATTCTTGGATCTTCCCTTCACCCCCATAGCAGGGGATGGGGTGCCTAGCACAGCTTTTCAGAGGAAGAAAGGGCCCGGAGAGCCGAGGGCTTGCCCTGGCCACACGGCAGAGAGGATGGCCTCAGCTGGCGCCTCCGCCCCGCCCTCTCCCGGCCCTCCCAGTTGGCCCAGCCCCAATCATCTCCCAGCAAAGTACCCAGCGCATTTGGGCATCGAGAGGGGAGGAGAGGGGGAGGCGCTGGCCTCTCCCCTCCCCGGGTCACCTTGCAGGGGGGGAGCCGGCGGGTGGGGTGATAAGGGGGCTGACGTGAGAGATGCGTCAACCCCGATAATAGAGGACGGCCCCACCCACGCCGCTGACCTAGGCTGGCTAGCCCCACTGAGGCAGGAGGCGCCCCTCCCGCAGACCCCCGGAACCACACATCTAGGGTTCGCACCTCCTGCTCCTCCCCTGTGGAGCCCAGACCTGGCTGGGGCACTCCTGCTGTGTGACCTTGGGCAGGTGACATCCCCTCTCTGAGCCTCAGTCACCTCATCAGTAAAATGGGAACATGAACAGCTAACACTTTCCAGGTCGTTTTCGGGTATGGGAAGTGTCCAGCCTGGTGGGTGCTCAGCCAAGGGAGTGGCAGTCCCTAGAGCCTGGGGTCCTCAGGAGCCCCCATCCCAGGCCCCTTCCTGGCCCTGGCCGGCATTTCAAGAATGCTGAGCCCCGCTTAGGTGATTAATGTGTGGCTAAGCCCTCCTAGGAGTCACGCGCTGCCCGCGACAGCCTCCTGCGGCCCCCCGCCCTCACCCAGCGGGAACAAGGGGCACCCACCGAGCCCGCTGGGCCCTGTGCGGCCTGGACAAGAGTTCTCAAGCCAGGAGTGACACTCTGCCTGCCCGGGGTTCCAGGGCACCCATCTCCACTCCAGCTCCCACCCCAATTACATGAAGGGCCCATTTATTGAGTGCCTACTGTGTGCCAGGGACTTCCGGAGCCAAGCACACGACTACAGGCGTTTATAGGCAGAATGACACGGACTCCTCCCAGCCTGTAATGGCTGCTGGGGACTGAGTGCCCACCAGCCCGGCACTCTCCTAAGAGCTCTCTGGTTTACCTCCCTGTCACCCAGGAAACTTGGCCTGACTAAGGTCACCCCCTTTGCCCCAAGAGATCAAGTCTCTGCTCCAGGCACCCCAGCAAGGGCTGGCTGCGAAGGGGAGATGGGGAGGTGGCTGCCGAGCCTCCCCATCCTGGGCTGCCCCAGAGGCTGGGTCTGGGGTTCCTGAGGGAGGGTCAAGCCGGGGGAAGGGGAGGGAGGGGGTACTGCAGCGTCACGCCCACCCTGGCTGCTGAAGTTGCAGGTTTTTGAGACTGAACTTGGAATCCACAGTGAATGATGGGGTGATGGTTCACGGTGTTGCTATTTATAACAGGGCGGCTCCTCCTGCCCTCCTCCCTTCCTCCGCCTCCTCCCCTGGCCAGGAGCCCTCCTAATCACCCCTAATCCTCCTGCCCACCTCCCCCCGGAATAGGGGGGCCTCAGGCGGAGGCATCCTGGGAGACCCTAATGAGAACCAGATGTGGTAGGGGGAGGAGAGACCCTCCGTGCCAGGGGCCGGGAGCACCGGAGGGTGGAGGAGGGCGGGGGTGGGGAACCACTAGGGCGGGGTAGGGGGGGTAGGGCCGTGGGGGCGTGAGGTGAGGGGCCCTGGAGGGCCTCTTAAGGGACACTGACCCTACACGCTCTTCTCTGGGAGCCCTAGAGGCCGGCCTCGTGTCCCCACGGGCAATCTACGGGGGACGGCCACCCCCAGGTGCCCTGCAAACTGCCTGGGGGCTTTCCAACCCAACAGTCTGGGAGCACAGGGTGGGAGTGAGGGCTTTTGAGAGCCAAGGGATTCCTGCGGCTGGAGAAGAGCCCCTAGAAGTGAGGAGAAGGCAGGGCCCTCTGGGCATACTCGGGCGCCCTCTTCCCCCGCTGCTTCACTGCATCAGGACCACAGATACCTGCCAGGTAGGCACTAAGCCTGTCTCATGCTGGTCCTCAAGACCAACGTCCCCAACCAGAAAAGGGCACCACAAGATCACAAACCAGCAGCCCTGTCCTTCCCCGAGATCTTTCAACGACCTCTCAGCACTACCTCTTCTCCCGCCCCAGCTCCCCCGACAACTCTTCGGGGCCAGCCAGAGAGACTGCCCCTCGCACACCAGGGCCTTGGCACCTGTCCTTGCCTCTGCTGCACGAAGACGGTTCCTGTTCACGCTGTAGGTCTCGTCAGAAGTGTGGGTCCCACTCAGACGGCCCATCCTCTTGAGTGCACGGCACCCGCTTCCTCTCCTCCCTCTCCCCCCCCCTGCACGCGCTCTGCTCTCCTAGCACAGGTCTCACGGGCCCGTGGGCATCTGTCGCAGCCCGTCACTCCCCCCGACCCCCCCAGCAGTCACTGCACCCGGCCGGCTGCACGCGCACACTTGGCCCACATGGACGGAACTGTTGGAACAGCCCCCCAGGACAGGTGTTTTCTGGTTCTCCATTTTACAGGTGAGGAAACTGAGACTCAGGAAGCGTAAGGGCGGTGCCGCAGCTTACAGTAGGGGCCCTGCCCTGTTCTGTTCCTCTGGGACATAAGCGTCTAAGCATGCAGTAGGCATGCAGTAAATGCTCATGGAATGAATGCGCAAAGAGGCAAAGGGGGGCACCGGAGTGAGGCCTGTGTCTGGGGACTTCCGCCAGGCTTGCGGTGGTTGGGGTCTGGGTTGGAAGGGCCCCACCAGGTACTGCCCCCACCTGCTGAGCTGTGCTCCCCGCTGCTCCTCACTACTAGGCCCTGTATCACCTGTCATCGAACAGCGGCCAGACTCGGCCTTCCCAGGCAGGCTGGGTCTGGGCTGTGGGAAGGAAGGTCCCTCCCCTCCCCTTGTCTCCTGTTAAGGTCTCCCTGCTGGGCAGGAGAGGCGCCCAGGGGACACAGGCCAGGTGTGGGACGAGGGTGAGTGCGAGCCCAGGTGGCCCCTCCCAGCCCCCTCCTTGTGCTCATGCACCCCCCTCCCCACCAGCTGTGGCCACTGGCTGAGTCTCGGTCATTGTCCTGGAGAACGGGGGAGGGTGGGGACGCGGCACAGTGGGAGGCTTGTGCCCTGCCCACACACCCCCTGCCCGTCAATGGGGCACTTGTCAATTCATGCCCCAAACATGGCGGAAATCCCATCGGCCACGTGGCCATCGGCAGGGCAGGCCAGGCCTCAGGAGGCTGGCCAGGGCTCGCTGATCTGAACCTGGGGCTGAGAGGGCACAGGGCCCAAGCCTGTCCTCCCCAGGCATCTGAATCTGAGGGGTACCCTGGTTTCAGGAAGGTGTGGTCAGGCACTGCCTACCTTAGCTCCCCCATGAGGCCCTAAGGGACTCCTGAGGTCAAAGAGGTCCGGCTGCTAAGGTGGGACCCCTACTTCACTGCTATATGGCCCTCTGCAAGTGACCTTACCTCGCTGAACCCCGGCTTCCCTCTCTATCAAGTAGAGCAGGAATCCCTGCACCCTGGGTGGCTGTGAGTCTTCAGTGGGTGGTGGGAAAGCTCCTGGCCTGGGAGGCCATTCCTCAGCCAGTGTTAACTGCTCTGTTTCTATTTCTCTGGGGACTCCCACTTCTTGCCCCCAAGCCTCCACCCATGCCTTATTGCATTCCTGCTCTGGGGGCCTCCAAACCTTCTCCAGAGCAGGACCAGCTCACTGGCACATGCACAACACAGTCTAGCCTCCAGGCCTCAGCTCTAGCCATCCTCCAGTGAATCAACCTTCTGTGATGGCCTGCCTGGCCCAGCAGCCCCTCTGCCATCACCCCAGTCACAGAGCACCCCTATATTACAAAGCTAATCAACATGCTCCAAAGCAGTTCACTCTAGGATGGGACACAGTGGGCTTTTACCTCCTTTGGTTTGGATTTTTTTCTCTTTACTAATATGATCTTTGATTAATATAATTGTTAGTTGTCCCTGCTTCAGGCTTTAACTTGTGGCTACCGTCTCCTCACTCAACATGCCTTTAGGTCAGATGCTTGGTTTGCAAGTTACTCTTGCCTCTCTGCATCCAATTCCCAGTTAGTGTTGGGTCAACTGATGAGGATGTGGCTCTTGAGTCACTGCCCATCAGGTTCACAGATCAAAGCTAGAGTGGTTTTTGTTCCCTCTCAACTTCTTGACAAAATGAAACAGAATCCAGCATCCCTCCTACAAGGACCCATCTCCTCCAGGGATCTTCAGCCACCCTGGGTGACAACTCTGTCCTCCCAAAGTCCCACATGGATGCCACCTTGTCCAGTTGATCATAAGGCTGAGCTGTCAGTTTCAAGTGCTCCCAAGTTACGTGCAAAAGAACGGAGGCCAGCAGCTATCACATGCTCATAGGAGGGAACCCACATTGGTCTCTAGGGA